CCTCATATTAAATTGCATCATCAGGTTTACTTTTGGTTCTAAGAAGTCTGGCTGGTACTACTAATAAATAATAATAATAATAATAAACCCTTTATTATCAAAGTATAACATGTATACAGTGAAATTGGCTGAGCCAACTCAGGCACTGGAGGAGGCTGGTTAGCTGTCTGGTTCTAAGATCCACAGCCAATAGCTAAAATTGTCTTGAGTCAATTTTTTTTGCTACTTTTTAGGCATGTTTGTCAAACTTGTGTCTGTTCTTTTTACCCTTGATACTTTGTAATGTTTTTTTTTAAAACTGCTAAAGCAAGCCTTAAGGTAAACTTTAGCAAGGCCCAAAGATTATTGCAGTAGTTAACATGTTGCAAACAGTACTTGCCAGGCTTCCTCACTTTCATGATATACTGGGGAGTGAATTAAACCATCGGTCTTACTGTTGATGTCTTCTTCTTCGTCTACATGGATTCATGCCTTTGAAATTAAAAAAAAAATCAACATCACCAAATGACCAGTGGATGTTCAGAGGCTAGAAAAGCAATCAGTAGTCAAAGGGGCTTTTATGTGTTTTATCCTACGTGTGAAAGAAGGCAAGATACAATGAACTGTAACATTGTTCCCTCGAGCAACTAGTGGTCTTCTACAATCATGTTTTGCTTCTTTTAGAGCAGAGGTGTCAAACTTGCCACGTCACGTGACGTCGCAACGTGTTGGGTTTTTTGCATTGCCGGAGCTGGGTGGGCGTGGCCTCCGTATGATGCAACCGGCTTGTGGGCCGGCAGTTTGACACCCCCTTTTTAAGGATTTGAGCCTTGACTTCAGGTCCCAAGAGTTGAGTGTATTCAAGAAAGTCAAGGCTCAAACCCTTAAAAGGGTGTCAAACTGCCGGCCCACAAGCCGGTTGCGTCATAGGGAGGCCACGCCCACCCAGCTCCGGCAATGCAAAAAAAAAAAAAAAAAAGTCGCGACACCCATTTTAAGGATTTGAGCCTCGACTACCATTTCCTCACGTCCCAAGAGTTGCGTGTATTCAAGAAAGTAAGGGCAACTCCAGATACTGGAGCAATTTTGCCTTTAAGCTAAATTTTGCCTTTAGCCCTTTTAACTGCACCTGGCTAAAGTTGCCTCATCTTTATTCCCGAGAGTCAGGTCAGCTCCTGGCCCCGAAGTAATTTTAATTAACTTTTCTTCCTCGAAGTGCTTTTAGCCTGCAAAAGAGGTGGCTGAGGTTACCTCTGACTTTATTCTGAAGCTAATTTTAACTTATTCGCCTTTGCTGGTTTGCTCCTCTTTAAAGGGGCATGGCTAAAATTACCTCAGGCGCCAAGAATTTGCTTTACTCCTGAGAGCAAAGTCAGCTCCTGAGTCCATTTTACCTTTAAAACCCTTAATTTTAATTCTTATCCACCTGTGGTGGTTTGAAGCTAATTTTAACTCTTATTCAGCTGTGATAGTTTGCTCCTTTTTAAAGGCACGTGGCTGAAATTACCTCAGGCTCCGCCAAAATTTTACTCTGAGAACCTGATTTTTGGCTAAAAGGCGCCAAGAATTTACCTTTAAAACGAATTTTAATTCTTATCCACTTGTGGTAGTTTGAAGCTAATTTTAACTCTTATTTAGCTATGGTGGCTTGCTCCTTTTTCAAGGGACATGGATAAAATTACCTCAGGCGCCCAGAATTGGCTTTATTCCTGAGAGCAAGGTCAGCTCTGGAGGCAATTTTACCTTTAAAACTATTTTTAATTCTTATCCACCTGTATGGTAGTTTGAAGCTAATTTTAACTCTTATTTAGCTACGGTGGCTTGCTCCTTTTTCAAGGGACATGGCTAATATTACCTCAGGCGCCAAGAATTTGCTTTATTCCTGAGAGCAAGGTCAGCCAGAGTCCATTTTACCTTTAAAACGAATTTTAATTCTTATCCACCTGCGGTGGTTTGAAGCTAATTTTGATTCTTATCCACCTGTGGTAGTTTGAAGCTAATTTTAATTCTTATCCACCTGTGGTAGTTTGAAGCTAATTTTAACTCTTATCCACCTGCGGTGGCTTGCTCCTTTTTAAAGGCACGTGGCTGAAATTACCTCAGGCTCCGCCAAAATTTTACTCGAGTTCTGGGCTAAAATTACCCCAGACGCCAAGAATTTGCTTTATTTCTGAGAGTAAGCTCAGCCCGAGTCAATTTTACCTTTAAAACTATTTTTTTTTATTCTTATTCACCTGTGGTAGTTTGGTCCTTTTAAAATGGACGTTACTCTAAGAACTCGAGTCTTGGCTAAAATTACCCCCGACGCCAAGAATTTGCTTTATTCCCGAGAGCAAGGTCAGCTCTTCGAGGCAATTTTTACCTTTAAAACTAATTTTAATTCTTATTCACCTGGACTAGAATTACGTTATTCCCTAAGGGGAAAGACTAACTATCTTTAGTGACCTGTGGTATCGGCGTCCTTTTAAATAACAGATATTACCTGAGCCAGAACTGGCCGTTTTACTCTTAAGAATACACGCCGAGGTTTAAAATTACCACAGGTGCTACCCTTACTCCGCGAGAATAGGCTATCCATTAGCTAAAGAACTCACGCTCCCCTCCGTATCTTACAACGTAGAAAAGCCTCAGAATTACCTCAAAGCTCAAAAGGCCCTGCCCGGCCTCGAGCTCGAGGACTTGGGCCGCGGGAGCGACGGAGAGAGAGACATTTTTGGCCCCCCGGCCCCCCGGCCCCCCGCAGCATCGTCTTTTTTGAGGAAAAAGAGACGCGGTAGTAGCGGCGTCGGCTGCCTACGCAGCGCACTCGCTTTTCTTTTTTGCACTCGGCTTGAGGAGCGCGCCGACTTTTTAAATGCCCCCGCCTCTCGGAGAGGAGAGAGGCCTCTCAGCCAATCCGAGCGACGGAGTTTCGCAGCAGCCAATCACGGTCGAGGCTGGCGCGGAGAAGAAACTCGCCAGGAGGTTCCTTGGGTGGCGCCGGGCCGGGGAAAGGGAGCGCGCTCGCGCTCGTTGCGCACGCGCGCACAGTGGGCGCGCGCCGCTGTGTTTTCCCACCCCAACCTCGCAATCCGGGCCCGGCCGCGGCTCCCGGAGCGGTTGCCATGGAAACGGCGGGAAGCAACGCGCGGCGCGCGAGGCGCCTCATTACGGCCAGCTGGGCCGAAGCTGCGCAGGTGAGGGAAGATTTGGCGGTTGCGACGTTGTGTGTCAGTGTGTGTGTGTGTGAGTGTGTAATGCCTTCTCTTCGAGGCTTCGCCCCCATCTGGGGGACTCTTCGCCCCGCCGGTGTGGGGGGGGGGCGGACCTTTGAACTACAAATCCCATCCCTGAGGCAGCCAGCGGATCTCCCCTGGTGCGTGAGAGGCCGGAGTACGGTTGGAGGCTGCCGCCCCCCTCCCCGCAAAGGCCCGGTTTCTTTAAAAAAAATCTGAAAATTTATACAGAAAGTAATAAAAAAAATAAAAGGATGACTATATGTAGAGTATAGGAGATGCGTTGGACTACAGTTCCCATTAGCCAGCCTGTTGCAAGAGGGGGCAATCCCCATCAGCCCTCCCCCCCAAGGCTGGCTAATGGGAACTGTAGTCCAAAGCATATAACCAGAAGCTTTGGACTACAGTTCCCATTAGCCAGTGTGTTGCAAGAGAGGCTATCCCCTCAGCCCCACCCAGACTGTCTAATGGGAACTGTAGTCCAAAGCATTTCCAATACTCTACATATAACCAGATGCTTTGGACTACAGTTCCCATTAGCCACTCTGTTGCAAGAAGGGGCAATCCCCATCAGCCCTCCCCCCCCAAGGCTGGCTAATGGGAACTGTAGTCCAAAGCATATAACCAGAAGCTTTGGACTACAGTTCCCAGTAGCCAGTGTGTTGCAAGAGAGGCAATCCTCTCAGCCCCCCCCCCAGGCTGCCTAATGGGAACTGTAGTCCAAAGCATTTCCAACATATAACCAGATGCTTTGGACTACAATTCCCATTAGCCAGTCTGTTGCAAGAGGGGCAATCCCCATCAGCCCTCACCCCAAGGCTGGCTAATGGGAACTGTAGTCCAAAGCATCTCCTATGCTCTACATATGACCATTATTTTATTTTATTTTATTTTATTTACTGTATTAAATTTTCTGGTTGCAGTTCCTTTCCATCTAAAATTCAAAGTCCCTTTTTCTTTTTTTCTCTTTTTTTGGTTGCATCTTCTCCACCACGTTACAATCTTGCCAGGCAGCCCATGGTTTTATTTTGTTGTGCAAATATTGAATTTATTTTTTCCAGGTTTTTTTTTAAGAAACAAATTTCAGGACTGGTTTGTTTTGCTTTGCTTAAAAGTTATAATAGAGTTTTTGATACATGGTGTTCTTGCCCTGTGAAAGAAATTGACCCAAATTTGAAACTGTTTCTCCCTTTTTCTATTATAGGAATTCTTCCCCCCCCCCCATCCCCGGTTAAAGGTTTTCAAAAGAGGTGCTTGTCCGAAAGTGCAAAATAATAATGGCTATCTTGGTTGAGTTTCTTTATTCGTGGTTTAAATGTGGTTTATGGAATTAACCAGATTTTCTGCTCTTGAATGACACTGAACGTATTACCCCTATGGGCTACTTTAGCAGAGCACCCTGAAGTGGGTGACAGATTAGAAGTGGGTGACTGATTCCTTGTGTTGGACAAACTCGGTTATTGATTGATAAAATCTGCTGCTTTCTACTTCATGTGTTAGAAAAAAATTGCAATGGAGAAACTGTGATCTTTTGCCTATTGTACAACTACTATATAGTTTTCAGCACTCCTTGCCAATGGATATACTGGCAAGGTCTGCTAGGGGCTGTAATCCAGCAACATCTGCAAGCACAGCATGTTCCTGTACATGATGAAATGTTACATGCATGTATTTTTTTTCCTTGTAAACTGCATAATTTCTCTAGTACTGCATAAGAAAAACCTCACAAATCTGATAAACTCAATAAAATCTATCTTCAGGCTCAATGTCTTATGACTTCATAGGCTGTCTATGTAATTTTCTTTGCTGCAGTATAGAAGCTATTTATTACTATTTTCTTTTAGATTTTTTTTTTCAAGTTCCCAGTCTACCCTATAACTTTGGATTTTCTTGTGGCCTCCTATCCAGGCATAAACCCGCAGCCGTTTTTGAACTGAACATGGTCAGCCAAGTGCTGTCTCCTGCTGAGGTGATAAGAAGCCCAATACCAAGAAATTTGTCTGAAATGGTGTAGGGTTCCTGCCTGAGCAGGGGGTTGGACTCGATGACCTCCAAGGTCCTTTCCAACTTTATTATTATTATTATTATTATTAAAGCAGTCAGAAGAGAAATAATGTATTAGCAATAAAATCTGATACAAGACAAAAGGGCTGCCTTCCTTCAAAAATTTGTTGAGAATGAACTTAGAACAGGCGATGTGTTTTTCCTGATTTTAGTTTAAGCTAGTTTCCAGCAATGACTGGCTCTTTTGTATACCAGTAGAAACATGCCCAAAGGAAAGAACATAGAAACCATCAAAGGCATATTTTTAAAAATATTAAATACCAAAATAAATTTGGGGCACTGCTTTCATTAGTATCCATCTAGGAGAATAGATTATGCAGAAAAAAGCTATATGCATTCAGAGAACAACCTCAGATCTTACTTTCAAGTCATTTTTTTTTCCTTCCTAAATATGAAACAGTTTGATCTCTGGTTTTATCTTTAAAAAAGTAGCTACTACTTTGCCGATACAGAGGAGAGAGTCATCTTACAATCTATGCTTGTTATTAGTGGCCTCAAGGTAGGTAACGGAAGCAAATCATCGGGGCAAACACTGAAGGGATTTCTTGAGCTGATCCTGCTACTTTGGAACTGTAAAAGCAGCAGCTAACATCTGCTAAAGTGTTTATGTGCTGAAGGGGAACCACAGCTTCCGGAAAAGAGGCATGCAGTGAGTAAGCAAAGATGGAAGTGTAAAACCAGGCTGCCTTGGGGAACGTGTCTTCTAATTGATTTCCCTTCTTGTGAAAAATTAGTGCAGGGCAGGTTAATATTTTGGAGGGAAGCCGGTTTAAAAGTTGCTGACTTCTCTTGTTTTACGGTGAAGCAGCTGCTCAATTGGTTATGCCCTGCTAAAGCCTGGGTTTCTTTCGTTGCAGCTTTTTGTCTTGTGACATGCAGAGGTCTGTGCAATGAGGAGAGGCCAGCCGCAGAAAACATCCCTTGGGAAGCCACAGATGTCTCCGTCCCGCGCTCGGAGTCCAAAGTCTCCTGCAAGTGCCCGTAGCAGGTCATCGTCTCCGCTGAACAGAGAAGGGATCCACCAGCCAACTGGGCGAAGATATCAAGGAGAGGTAGATCAAGAAAGCGATACAGGTATTGCAATAATCCTTGAGGGATATAATCAAATGTTGCTTCAGGGACTTTGCTTAGGAGATCTAAATAATATTAATGTTATGATTGACATTTATGATTGATATTTATATTAATATTTATGATGTATGTATATAGCACATGTATGTATATAGCATGTTTATATGTGCGTTATGTATGTGTTACGCTTTTGAGAGGCAGAAAACAATTTCATTGTTAATGGGTACCATTGTGCCCACAGTAAAAAATGACAATAACAGTTATCTGGATGTGGCTTTTTAAGATTTTTTTTTTGTGTGTGTGTGTGTGTGTAGAATATACACTACAGGTAGTCCTTGACTTACAACTGTTCATTTAGTGTCCGAAGTTGCATGACCGTTTTTCACACTTAGGACCATTGCAGCATCCCCAAGGTCACATAATCAAAATTCAGATACTCGGCAACTGACTCATATTTATGACGGTCACAGCGTACCGGGGGAGTCACGCAATCCCCTTTTGTAACCTTCCGACAAGCAAAGTCAGATTCACTTAACAGCCATGTTTCTAACTTAACAGTGGCAGTGATTCACTTAACAACTGTGGCAAGATAGCTTGTAAAAGGGGGCTAAACTCACTTAACAACTGTCTTGCTTAGCCACAGAAATTTTGGGCTCAGCTGTGTCGTAAGTCGAAGTCTATCTGTATTTCTATTTTCGCTTACCACTTCATCCGACGTGAATATGATTTCTAATCCTATCCCAAAAGATTTCAGGCTTTATGAAGTTGATGGAGGAGAAGAGATCTGCTTTTCTCCTGCTGGTCTTTTTCTACTTTGTATTAAATGGGTTGTTTGATTTTAAAGTTTTTAATATTGTGCGGCACCCAGAGTGTTGCGGAGTTGGCAGCTTGTAAGTTTAATACAGCGGTTTCTCAACTTCAGCCATTTTAAGATGTCTGAACTTCAACTCCCATAATTCACCTCCTTGGCTTTGATAATGTTTAGATTGTTCCCTGTTCTGTATCACTCACTACCTCAAAAACCTTGCTGTTGATTTCAGATGGCAGTCCAGGTATCCGGTACATAACAGAGCCTCTTATTAAGAAGCTGGCCAAGCAAGAGAATCTGCCACGCGTGACTGCTCTGAACCTTTCCCTCAGTAAAGATGGAGGGAAGAAATTTAAGGTATATGTCTGGTGCTTTGTACTTTAACAACCGTCAACCACAGACAAATAAGAGATTGCGGGAATTGGGCAAATAAACCCGATCTAAAGAAACACCTCATAATGCTTTATAGTGTGATTGCAGAGCTGAAATAGATTAATTCAATAGCATGTTCTTATTCCTTTCAGTACATAGAAAATCTGGAGAAATGCAGTAAACTGGAAGTCCTAAACCTCAGTCATAATCTGATTGAAAAGATCGAAAAATTGGATAAACTTCTGAAGCTATTAGACCTCAACCTCTCTTTCAATAAAATAAGGTAAGCAAGAAAAAAGAGTGAATAATTACAAAGCAAATGATTCTTTTCTTGAGGGTTTTTTTTTTTAAAAACCCAGATAAGTCTGTTCCCATTTTTTTAAACTTGTATCAGTCGGAGATTAATGTGTTGTAAAATGAGGAGGACCAACTTTTACATTCTTCTTAAACTCCTGATAAACCCTCTCAATTTCAATATCTTGGTCATTCTTTTGTTGTAAAGGGATATAAGTACATGGAGGAAGTCTAAGAAGTACATGGAAAAAGAATGCATAATAACAAACCAATGTATGTTAGCAAACTTCCTGTAAGTTTAGATGCCCTTGTAACTTCTTAGTTTTTTATTTAAGCTGAGGCGTTGTTCAGTTCTTCTAATCCTGGCCTATGGAGTGGGAAAATGTTATCACAGCTCTTCCTTTGTGTAAGGACTAACATTAATGATAAAATCTGAACCTCACCTTAAAATGCCTGTTTATCAACCTATCTCTCTCTTTTTTTTGTGTGTCCAGTAAAATAGAAGGTATTGAACATTTACACAGTCTTCAAAAGCTGAATCTGGCTGGGAATGAGATTGAACACCTCCCTATGTGGCTGGGGAAAAAACTCCGATCCCTCCGCATCCTGAATTTAAGAAAAAATAAAATCTCATCAGTAAGTGATTTTCCCCCATAGCAGTGTTTACTATCCTACCATAGCTATAATTGTGATTGTTTAATTCCGTTCCATCACTATAACAATATACTCACCTCTGAAAACAGTTGTGCTTCATTGGAATACCAGACTATAACTAAAGTGGTTAGAATGCAGTATTGCAGGCTAACTCTGCCCATAGCCAGGAGTTTGATCCTGACCGGTTCAAGGTTGACTCAGCCTTCCATCCTTCCAAGATTGATAAAATGAGGACCCAGATTGTTGGGAGCAAATATGACTCTGTAAACCGCTTAGAGAGGGCTGTAAAGCACCGTGAAGTGCTATATAAGTCTAAGTGGTATTGCTTTTGCCAAAGGAACCAACTGGGATAACCAGTTGCAGAATCCTATGACTGCAGAAAGTTACTATAAATATGTATTGCTTTCTGCTGGAAAACAAGGAGAGGGCCACATAATTTCTGGGAAATGTTCCCTCAAGCTAAAAAAAGAAAATGTACTCTCTCCCACACAAAGAAGCATTTTGTGTGTCCTTAAAATGCTCTTCATTGACTTCTGTTTTTGGTTCTATCGCTGTATATTTGTAAAGCTCTATAAAAGTCCTGTAGTAGAAAAAGCAGGGGTTTTTTTTTTTAAAAAAAAAAACACCTTTCCCTAATTCACAATTCAGCTCAGTTTGTCTTTGTATAGCATCCTTACAGACGTCTTTTCGGTAGTAGCTATACAAATAGATTGTTTACTCCAGAAATTGAGTTAACATTATGCGTTATGATTGGCAGAATCATTGTGTGTTAGTGTGAGTGTGTGTAATGCCTTCTCCTCATCGATTTCTATTCAGTTTTAGCCTAAAAGAACAATTTAACGTTACTTATCTGTAGTAGGAAACTAACTTCAGCTTACGCCTCAAGTGTTTAATTCCTACGCTATTCTTTCCTTTCAGCTCTACGAAGTAGCCAAACTGAAGCCTCTTAAAGATTTGACTTCTCTGTTGCTGGCAGACAACCCAGTGGTCAACCTGCCTCACTATCGTCTCTATACCATCTTCCATCTGAGGTCATTGCAGGATCTGGAGGGGCAGCCGGTGACAAATTGTGACAGGGAAGAAGCCCTTGAAAGATTTAATTTAGGTAAACAAGTGTAGTTTGAACCCTCGTTGTGCATTCGGACGTTTTTTTCTAAAAATATGTTACATTGCATTAGGTGGAATCCCCCCCCCCCCTTATGTAGAAGCATTTAGGACCATAATTGAAAATGAACTGCTCCAATTTCTTTTTAAGTGTGATCATGCTTTCATGTAGAAAAGGATTGTTTGTGACAGTTGGATGGTAACCCACCTTCTAATCTGTTCCATATAGTCTGTGTGAGATACAAGAGCTTGTCAATCACAGCCTCACACTGTGTGACAGGCTTCCCTCAGCAATGTCTTTGGCACCAGCCTCCTGCTAGATTTTTCCTCTCTCAGTTATAAGTGAACATTCAGTTTGGCCTGCCAATCCAATTTGCATTCCTTATTTGCTTTCCTGCCAAGAAGAAGCTGGACATCACTCTCTGGCTTGCTTTGTCTTTGCAGAAGAGGTAGAACACCTAGAACATAACCTGGAACAGATGACCAAGGAGATGGAACACTTGCAGAACAAACAGTCTGATTTGCTAGAGCAGATCCAGCAACAAGAGGAGCAGAATAAATCCTTAAAGCAGAAGCAAGACCAGCAGAAACAGAACCACAAAGACCTGGAGACTGAGCTGGAAACCAAAAACGAGTTGGTAAAAGCAATATATATGGGTGTTAACCACCCATAGATTCTATTTTAAGGTTATGGATTGCTTGCAGACTTAATATGAAGTTAAATTCTTTAGGGCATGCACTGCACCATATGCTTTTATTAACTATGGTTAATTGAACAGTTTGTTATGCTAAGCCATCATGTGATCTGTTCTGGTTTTGGCTTTGCCTTCTGCATGAACAAACCCACTATGGATTGTTCAGCAAACCAGGAGCCTAAAGCATAGCTTTACATGATGCGTAAGCCAATTTGTCACATCATCCACGCCCACTATTGTGCTGTGATCTTGACTTGCTGCTTGTGTTCACATTTTCCTGAAGCTGACATTGTTTTACTCCCTGCATTTTCCCTTAGCTGAAGCAGAAAACCGTGGAACTGACTCGAGCTTGTCAGAAGCAGTATGAGCTGGAACAAGAACTGGCCTTCTATAAAATTGATGCCAAATTCGAGCCGTTGGGCTATTATCCCATGGAGGTAATTCTTGGATGGTGTTCTAATTTCCAAGGATCTAAAATTTTGGCTAGCACGAGTTCTGGTAGTCCCATTCTCAATGGGATGATCATTTATTTATTTATTTGTTTGGATTTTTATCCCGCCCTTCTCCTTACGGACTCAGGGCGGCTGACAGCCTGGTAAAACAAATACAGAGATAAAAATGATGATCAGAGAAGAGAGGCTTATGCACATTAAGTACGTGCTCAGATTACTCCTTCCTCTGATGATGATGGCGCTGATGATGTTACCTAGTTGGGTAGTGAAATGTCTGCAAGAAAAGCAGCAAGCTCGGAGAGCACTAAGTATTCCATGCTTCTTCCTCACCAAGGATTCCATACTTCTTCCCATGGCTAACTTCAGACTTATGGAAGAAGTAATAAAAAGAGTCATCCTTGGAACTGGATCGTGTTTTCGTGGGACTCTCTGTGCTTCCAAAGTATGAACCCTCAATAAATTGCAGGCCAGAATAAGAATTAGTAGTAAGATCTTTATGAAACACATTGGTTAAATCAAAAAAGAAATAAACTATAGAAAACGTCTCATGGTTCAGATGATGCTGGCTTTGCGGATGATCTCCTGACATCCCTGGACTCTTGCGTTACTTCTCCTGTTTTAGGATGTCGAATTTGACAACGTACCGGGCGAAAGTCCTTACATCGGGAAGGCCAGGTACAAAAGGAACATGTTTGCTGTGGAAGGTTACATCCCCAGGAAGGCTCAGCAGATGCAGATGGGAAACCTGGAACAGGAACCAGAAGCCCAGCAGCTGAAACAGAATCTGCTTCAGTCGCTCGATAAACAGCTTGAGGAAAAAGAGAGGAAGATTAAAGAAGGTATTAACAGCTTTCTTTTTCCTACCTTGAAATCATGAGCAGCGGGCGTGTGACCCCTCAGGAACATTTGATTGATGCTGATCTATCCATAAGCGAATTGAGTCCATGCGATGACAGAGATGACCTGAAATAGAACAGCTCCTCCTCTCACAGGTTTAGCCATCCTGGTAGATTCCAGTAAGACACGCTGAAATAGCTTCAGAGGTTATTCAAATTTAAAGTCAAAAACCCTTGGCTCTTTTGATCTTTCTTTTTAAACTCATCTCCGATCCTCAGCCTCTCAGCGGCCTCTCAAACCCTAGGCGTGAAAGAAAAGAGTCTTTAAAAGCTTTGGCAGCAGTTGTTATTTAAAAATTTAAAAAGGATTGGCTTTTCTAACACTAGAGAGATGCCTTCCAGAGCTTCTCCATTGCCCGCTTTTAATCAATTGAATCTTAATTTTTTTTTTCATTTTTTCAGCCCAGGAACAATTGGCCACACTGCACAATGAAGTCGCAAAGGCAGAGCAACAGGTCTTAACAGTCACCGAGGAACTTAAACAAGTCCAAGATGCTGTTGGGCAGAAAAAGGTAGGAACAAATGAGCAATCTAGCTAGGCTCACCCAACATGCTAAACCATGTTTCTGCTTTGCCAGTCACGTGTTGCGTCAAACCCAATAAACCATAGATAAAAACGGTTTAATGCGAGACATAACCTTAGCTGTTAAGAGTTTTTTTGTGCCTGAAGGATCAATTTCAAACATTCCAGTTTAAGGCTCTTAAACTGGAGGACACGATGCTTTTTGGAGCAAAACATTAAAACAATCCTTCAACTGGGATGGGAACAATAACAACATATTTAGCATTTTATCTTCCATTTTCATCATTTATAGCAATGCTGCTGAGCATAAAATGACGAGAGACTGACTCGGAAACCCTCAACACAGTCCTGCACATTTATATTTGGATTTAATTTCCATTAATGCAAGGATGTCTAAGCAGGAAGGGGAACCCCAATTCCCGAATTACAATAGATTCCAGGTTTTTATACCTCGGCTTTTAGCTTGGGAATCTCTTGCGTGCTCCTCCTTTCCCAGGTTTCGTTGATTATATGCTCTGCATGTTCAAATCCAGGCATCTGAAGCAGAAAAGGATTGTTTTCGGCACCAGCTAAGCAACAAGATACGTCTCCTACATCGTTTACAAGAAGAGGCTCTGGAACTAGAGAGACAGATGCAAAAACAGCGCCAAGAAATGGCGGAAAAGGAAAAGGAACTAGAAGGCTTGCAAAGTTTCCTAGATTCTCTGGATCCTAAAGACCCAAGACACGTAAGTCTTCCCGTTTCGAAACGGCTTTCTTTCTTTCTTTCTTTCTTTCTTTCTTTCTTTCTTTCTTTCTTTCTTTCTTTCTTTCTTTCTTTCTTCCTTCCTTCCTTCCTTCCTTCCTTCCTTCCTTCCTTCCTTCCTTCCTTTCTTTCTTTCTTTCTTTCTTTCTTTCTTTTTTAACTAGGATCTGTTCCGTTGAAGAAACCCAACTCAACTTCGAGTTGATTTCTTTTAGCTTTTTGGCAACTACGTCCTTCAGATGCTTCCTGTTTATTGCCAGAGTTGTTGCCAACTGGTCTGCCGGAGGTTTAGATGCAGTTGCACCTACCCAGAGTTCCCTCAGCAAAGCCAACTTCCACTGACCCCAATTCTTTCCTTTTGCGGAATATCGCAAATTACTGTAGCACGGATGGCTTGCAAGCAGCTCCTCTAGCTTTTCAATCCCCGTGGGCGTGAATGCTTCTTGTCCCAAACTAATTTTTTTGTGCGCGAGGCCACAAAGCGCACCACACAAAAAGCCCTGCCCAGATTGCAGCCTTCCAAAACTGACATCCCCGCATGCTTTCCAAACAGAAGGAAGCCGTTTCCTCTCCAGATCTGCTTGCTGCAGCTCCTAAAGCCGATTGGCCGCCGACGGGCCGCTTCCTGTGTTGTGATTTAAAGCAAACAGGGCAGAGCCCAACTAGCTTGAGACGAGCAGGGGATTGGGCACGCCCGTTCCTGCTGTGCAAGCGTCACAAAGAATCTGGCACGGGTCTCTGGAGCTGGCTTCTTTCAAACCACTTCCTCGCCTGAGTGCAACTGTCAAAAGAGTGGACGATGCACAGGACGAGAAAAGAGATTAGGGGAACTGGGTCCCAGTTAAGCAACGCCTTCCGTTGCTGCATGAATTTCACATGCTGAGGGAGGGCGGGGAGGGGGGAGGCTGCGGAAAAGAAAGCAAGACAAAGAAAGTAGTGTAAGTCTTCTCCTTTTTTTCCCCCCTCTCCCCCTCCTCCTGTCAAAAGACTCAGCTCAGCAGCTGCAGAGACCTCGAGGGAGTCGAGAGTATTCAGCGATAGACTGTAAAAAAGAGAGAGAAGGATCTTGCACAATTGTGGGTGTGTCACCAGGGGCTGAGCAGTTTAGCGAGTGTGCGATTGTGCTCACATGTAGCGTGCTTCAACCTCTTTTTGCGTTGCTTCCGAGAATCTGGAGGAGCGGATCTGGAAATCATTTCATTCTCGGAATCGGAGTAATTAGGATTTTGCATTTTTTAAAATAATCGCTGGACGCTGCAGTTTTGCAAAGGGACCGTTGGACTAACCACTGAGATACCTCCTTCTTCTTCTTCTTGTTTTTTAACCATTGCTGTTGCTTTTATTTGGGAAGTTGGCAGTCCAGACCATCATTTTTCTTTTCTTCTTTTCTTTTTTTCTATTGATACAGAAACAGCCAAATACAGTATAGCTGTAATTATTGGTAGGCTGAAGGCCCAGCTGAAGGAAATCAAGCAGGCAGAATTTAGCTACTGTTTTCTAAGCCTGGTGGTGCAAAGGGAGCATTGTAATAAAACCTGCTATCAGGACAATTTAGGTGGGCTGTGCTGTCAGTCTAATCATGATAGGTGTTGCCTGGTAAACCCATCATTCAACTTGGAATGGGATTTGTGATCTTTAAAAAACCGGTTACTGCATATAGTACTTACATTAGCTGCTGAGGGTGTTTGGTTTTTGTTTTCTTGCCGTTGCTTTGAGCTGTCGTAGAACATAGAATAAGAGAGTTGGAAGCGACCGACCTCGGAGGTCTTCTAGTCCAACCCCCTGCTGGAGCAGGAGACCCTACACCATATCAGACAAATGGCTGTCCAATCTCTTCTGGAAAGCCTCCAGTGATGGAGCATCCACAACTTCTGGAGGGAAGCCGTTCCATTGGTTGATTGCTCTCACCGATAAGAAATTTCTCCTTAGTTCTAGGTTGCTTCTCTCCTTGGTTAGTTTCCATCCTTTGCTTCTTGTCCTGCCTTCTGGTGCTTTGGAGAATAGGTTGATCTCCCCCCCCCTTCTTCGTGGCAACCCCTCAGATATTGGAAGACTGCTATCATGTCACCCCTAATCCTTCTTTTCATTAAACTGGACATACCCAATTCCTGCAACCGTTCTTCGTATGTTTTTAGCCTCCAGCCTCCTAATCATCTTTGTTGCTCTTCCCGGCACTTTTCCCAGAGTCTCAACCTCTGTCCATTCTGTTCCTAGGCTCATATGAAGGCCCAGAAAGCAAGCAAAGAGCAGCAACTGGACATGATGAGGAGGCATTATAAGCAACTGGAAAGCCGCCTGGATGACGTGCTGTCCCGGATCGCAAATGAAACCGAGGAAATCCGGGATTTGGAGCAACAGCTTACAGATGGTAACCTTCTCCTTTGCAGTCATCTCCTCCATCCAAAACTTTTATGGCAAACTGGTCACAGGTGCCTCGGACATAGGGGCACAGGCATTTAGTGACACCGGTAAATATAAGTAAATGTTTTGTTGCAAGAAACATCTGGGGTAGCTTGTGAACTATCTTGAATTCATCTGTTTGCAGGCCAGATTGCAGCCAACGAAGCCCTGAAGAAAGACTTGGAAGAAGTGATCCTAGGATTACAGGAATACCTCAAGAACGTTAAGACTCAGACGAAGCAAGCCACCGACGAGTGCAAAGAGCTGCGGAAGGAGAAGGAAAGTTTGTTGAAAAAATTGGGGGAAATAGAGGAGGAGAGGAACCAGTTGGAAATAGTGGCCATTGATGCTGAAAACCTGAGAAAGGTGAGTTTCCGAAGGCACCTGTCTTCCTCAAATGCTATTTTTCCCTCTGTTTCTTTAGCTGACAGGTTGGTATCTTTGATTTCAGGAAACTGCGAACCTGGAACGGGCTCTCCAACAGCAGCGTGAACTCAATGAAGCCTTGCAGGAAGCCCAAGGAGAAATCAGTGCTTATGAGGCTGAGCTGGAAGCTGAGCTGAAGGCCCGAGACACTGAAGCCAGCCAGCAGAAAGAAGAGCTCGAGAACTTAAAGCAGATTATTCAGGTAAGGCAAACGTACAGAAAGAAGATTCCCTCATCTTATTGTCTGAAAATCAAAGTTAATGGCTCTCCAGCTTTAGAATCGTTGCCGGGAGTGATGTTTTAAGGCGTCAAAGATGTTCTGAACAGATTTATTTCAACAAAGGCATTCCCAAATTCCATCCTGATGAAAGTTGAGAAATGGGAACTTCATCTTCAGAGCCTTTAGAAGGAAAATGTAAATCAATATTCAGTAGCTTAATTTGGAGGTTTCTTTAAAAAAAATTCTCTTCGTTTGCTTTCTACCTCGTTTTTTTTTTCTGATTGGGGGGTACAGGTGGAACAGTCTGCCCTCCAAGCCCAGCTTGGCAAGGAGAGGCTAGCCCTGGAGAATGCCTTGGCCAAAGCACAATTGTGTGAAGAGAAGGAACAGGAAAATAATCAGCTGCTCTCCCAACTCAACCAGCTGCAGGTAGACTATTTTTCCCAATTGCATTCGTAGCTCTGCTCCTTTTCCTTCAAAGAATTAATATTAGCCTGATGGAAACCAGTTACATTTCCTTGTCATTCAGGTCTGTTAAAAATTAACAAAACCTTTATGCTAGAGAAATTATTATTTGTTGTAATAACAACAAAGCAGCTGAATGACAAAAATAATAATAATAAATCTTGCTTGCAAATGTGCAGCACAATTCATATTCTGATGAGACGTCTGTAGGTTTCATTCTGCGACTGAAATGAAAATAAATAAATTCCAACTTTGTAATGGTACAAGGTGATCTTTCAAACGTGTCTCTTGTGCGTGCAGAAGGACAATCACCTCTTGAGGCAGCAGCTGAAAGACACGCAGGAGCAAATGAATCACGCAGCCGATAGCTTAATTCATCCCGAGGAAATCTCAGCTCGTGTGAACGAACTCAAACAAAAGCTGCGGACTGGGGCAGAAATCAGGTGCGTTAAAACCAGAAGCGTCCAAAGTCTTTGTTTACTTTAATTTGTGGTTTAAATCTCCACAATCTTTTTTTTTTTTTTAAATTGCTTCTTCTACAACAGGTGCCATAACCCAAAGGACGTTTTAGGGAAGAGCCTTGCCGAGCTGCAGAAACAGTTTGTGGAGCTCTTAGCTCGTTCCCAGCAAGAAAATGAGTCTGTCCAGGCCAGAGAGAGAGCGCTCCAAAAACAGATGGCTACTCAGCGGGCTGAGCTGGAAGAAGCCCAAGAAAAGTATAAACTGGCCTGCAACAGAGCTGCAGAAGCCAAAGTAAGAAAAAATAAATAAATGGCAAAATTATAACAAGTGGGAGGAAAAGTCACTCCGCATTTTGGCAGAAATCTTTTATAAACAATAGATTGTTTTCATGGGGCACTTTTTCTCAATCCCTCTCCTGCAACCAGTATTTTACAGAAAATCTTGATCCTTAACCCTTAATCCATCTAATTAAACAGAACCCTCTCTGTCTGTCTCATTATATTTGTCTGCCTTCCTATTTCCTTGCTCTTTAGCCGTGATTATGAAGACTTTAAGCAAAAAAAATAAATAAATACCCAAACTCTCAATCAGAATTGTACAGCTTGAGACCCTCAGACTATTGATGAAGAGGACAGCGCCACTCTAAAAACAGCACCTGAGTTGTAATAAAAATTACAACTATTACAATTATTAATACAGCAGGAAAATTTTTAAGTACAGATAGTCCACGACTTACAACTGTGCATTTTGTGATTGTTCCAAGTTACAACGGCTCTGAAAATTGTGACCTATGGCCGTTTTTCGCCATGGTCATGTGATCAAAATTCAGACAGTTGGCAACTGACTCACGTTTATGACGATGGTAGGATCACGTGATCCCCTTTTGTGACTTTCTGACAAGCAAAGTCAATGGGGAAACCAGATTCACTTAACAACCTTATTATTAACAACGGTGACAAAAAAGGTTATAAAATGGGGTAAAACTCACTTAACAAATGTCTCGCTTGGCAACATAAATTTTGGGCACAATTGTGGCCGTAAGTGAGAAGGAACTGGGCTAATACATTAAATTCCACGTTCGTTTTCGTAAATTGAGATTTTCAGCCTGTTCCTTCTCACTTCTCCTCATTCCCACCTTTTAAAACTAAAAAAAAAATCCAGTTTTTTTTTATTAACATCAATAGAATGTCGGATATTGACAAGACACCTTTTCAGTATCGTTCACTGGCTTTCCTCTGCTTCTTGCATTTATCCAGATTAAATCTGAGAGAAGGCAGAATGAAGCCAGAGTTCAACAGCTAGAGGGGGACATCCAACATCTCGTTGAAAAATTGAAGAGCCTGGAAGAAATTCAGGGTCTCACCGATCAACAGCTCCAAGAAGTCGATGAGGAGAAAGAACAGATCCTTGCTGAGCTGGAAGACTTGGAGAATAAGGTGAGTATCTCCTCTTGAAATACCCTTTCTACAAAAATAGTTGGTTAATTTTTTTTAGCGTGGATGCATTCCGTTGGAAAGAGGAAGGCGAATCCTGGTTACTTTATTTATTGTTTTCAGCGCTTGGTGTTGCTTTGCTCACGTCTGTTGAAATGCGCTTTTTGGGGTCTTTCCAGAAAAAAGTGGAAGATGCGAGGGCCCAGCTGCAGTTCCACAGCCTCAGCCAGGAGCTGAAGGCCTTAAAAGAAGCCATTTCCGCTTCCGATAAGCAGGCCACAGCCCAACTCTGCGCAGCCAAAGATCAGCTCCAGTCGCTTCACGGAACCGTCTGCAAGATTAATCAGGAACGTACCGAGGTATGGTGCTGCCGAAACGCCCCTCTTGAAAACGGCGACAACCAAATCCTCACTGCTTATGGTGTTTGACGCTTGTAGCTAGGCAAACTTGATCAATGCTGTTGAAGAGATAGAGATTCTGAAAAACGGCACGCCGGGAGAATTGAACACTGAGAGAGCATTGAAAGTCCTCTGCAGCTGCTCTTTTGTAAACTAGTTAAATGCACAATCCCACCTGTAAAATGCTAATGGAAAGTGATTTGGTGTTTCCTCCCCCTTTCCTTTCTCCTCCCAACTGAAGGAGCTTCAGGAGGCCGAGAGGTTCTGCCTGCAGGCCACCCAAGCAGCTAAGGACCTGGCCAGAGCAGAAACAGAAATAGGACTTTTGCAGAAGCTTCTCAAAGAAAAGGAGGTGCAGGTATGTTCCGTTCACCTGTGCCTTTTCGTAGTGGAGCCCTGGTGGCGCCGTGGTTAGAATGCAGCATTGCAGGCAAACTCTGCCCACAGTCTGGAATTCGATCCTGACGGAGCTCAGGGCTGACTCAGCCTTCCACCCTTCCGAGGTGGGTAAAATGGGGACCCAGATTGTTGGGGTGGTTAAATTAGTCACATGGTTGTTAAGTGAATCTGGCTTCCCCATTGACTTTGCGGGTCGGAAGGTCACAAAAGATGATCAGGTGACCCTGGTGCCCTTGCCGCAGTCATAAGTACTTGCCAGTTGCCAAGAGTCTGAATTCTGATCACATGACCATGGGGACGCTGTTGACGGTCAGGTGAAAAAACTCCCAGGTGACTTTTCAGTGATGTTGTAACTTCAAACGGTCACTAAACAAACTGTCGTAAGTTGAAGACTACCTCTGTAAGTCTAAGTGCTATTACTATTGACCAAAGGGCTGGAGTGAAATGTGTAGGAGGTGGGGGGTGTAAGATGTCCATTTGAGTGTCTCCCAAAGCCCTTTAAAATTGAAAATGTGATGACAGTCTTCATCAGAAATATCTTTGGAAGATTCAAGAAGATCCCACAGGCCACCATCTGCCCAGGGAGAGGACTCAAGATATTGTCTTTGACCCCGATCCTTCTTGGTTTTACATTTCATTCAAATCCACCCACAGTTTTTTTGACAGCAGGTCAAAATCGGTTAGAGCAGCAGACAATGAAGGACTCGGTTCGGGACACCCTCGGAAGCACACCTTCTCAACCCAAAATGCTTTTTTTTCTCAATATTGCAGTTAGAACTGGGGAAAAACGACGCCGAGATGGCGGCCTTGCGGTTGCAAAAGGAAGAGTTGGAGAAGCTGAACGAACTTCTGAAACGGCAGAAAGCAGAAACTGACCGGCTCCGCGGAGCCTTAGATCAAGTTAAAAAAGGTTTGTTTCTTTTCCTCTTTGCTTTTCCAGCAAACGGGGATGAATTTGCACGGAAGATAGAATAACTAACTCAAAACAGTACGATAACCAACCTACTTAGAACTGCACACAGAATTTTTGAATTCCCTTCTAGGCAACAGGGCTGAAATTGAAGGCATACTGGGGGAAATCGAAGGACTCCAACGTACGATCTCTCAGCAGAACGAGACCATCGCTAACTTCGTGACTCCACTCCACCGGTGTCAGCCTCTGTTCTTTGTGCCGTCATCCTCCCAAGTATGAAAACGTTTACACTGTTTGCCTTGAAAGGAGCTTTCAAATCAACCAATCAGAGTCCTTTTCAGGGCTGCTGCTTGTTTTCATAAAAAAAACATCTGGAGCTAGGAAGCACCATATTATCTCACGCTTCATCCCGCCTCACACGGGCTGCTTCTAAACCTCTCCCCACCTTGCTAGGCCATAGTAAGATAAATATTTTAAGTTTTCCTCGGCCCAGCCAGTTTCTATTTTCCACAATTTCTTTTCAAGAGAGACCACTTTCCATACAATTTTTTCCCCTGCAGCCTGGTTATTATCCCTGTGGAGAAGAGACCCGGTCCCCAAAGAGAAGGAAAACCACAGCATTTACAGACAGCTTTATGAATGCCATAACTTGGAGAATTTCCATAACAAAATGATTATAGCCCCCCTTTTCCCCCCCTTGTGCATACAGATATTTGCGTATCTAAATCAGCTTCTGTATCATAGTATGTTGCCATCTTTTGATAGAAGGGTTCATAGTTGTACAATGGGTGACTTTCTGCCTGTTGCAAGCCACCCTTCCCTGGATCTGAAATAATAGCTTTTATCTTTGCCTGAAAAGCTCTCATTATTATTGGGGCCCTCCCCTCTGGGGAATATTTGTCTCAACTCAAGTTGATTATTTGTTGTTGTTTATCTTTGTTTCCAAGGCATCTACTCCCGCATCTCAGAGCACCAAAGATTCGGGCATTATTTTACAGTGTCCCGTGTCGACTCCCATCCTCAAACAGGACAGGAAGCTCGCCGAAAGCAAGAAAGCACATTATCCTGCTTCAAGAGAGTGCTGCATGCACAGCTCAGCCCAGGCTGGCCTGCAGGAACCTTCCTCTATCAGTAAGTCAGTTCAGCTAACTATCTTGCAAGTTCCTCCCTTACTTTCCAGAGAGAGCTGGGATATTATTTGCCCAGGCGTAGCAACATCTCTGTTTGCTCCCAGGAGGGAGAGGGACGCTTTTAAAATTTGATGAATAAATAAATAAAAAGGCCATAACTTCTCCTTGCTATGTACAGTATGTTACCAGTTGAAGGCAAGGACTGAGAGTGCCTCAGCATGCTTCTGGGTTGTACCTCTGACTATAAAGGGAATATTCTTGGCATTTGATTCACACTGCTAGCTTTCAGAGTGACAAGACACCCTGCATTATAAACCAGCCAGATTAAAACCAAGTAACAATATATGCCATGCAGGGCTCGGCCTTCTGTAACCATCAGCTCCGAAGTAATTTTCCACACGCTGTTTCTTTTTCTGAGAGGGCACTTCTTCGCTGTTGGTGTCTTTTGTGTTCCACAAAAGTTTCTTATCCGGGTCCTTCAGTGGGACTGTGTTCACTGTGTCTCTCCATCAAGGGCACCAAGGCGAGGGTGAAACCCTGCCCAGCACTGCTCCTTGTGTTCTGCCTCCTGGATCCATCATTTATACCCTGCTGCCGGATGGCAAACCAGTGCCTCAGGGGACGGTGTTGTACGGTCTACAACCTCTCTCCACACAAGCCATCGGAGGCCCGGTTGCTCCCACGACAGTCGTCTACGGCTCACCTCCCGCTGGAATCCAGCTGCATTATGGTTTCCTTCCCGCTAACTATTCCGTGCCGTTGGTTCCCCTGGGAATCCTTCACTGCAACATCCCTGACCACCGAGACTTGGTAAGAGGCTAGATCATCAGGTTTTGCAATGATAAAGAAGAAACTTATTATCCTTGGATAGTCTAGCCCCCTTTTCGTCAGCTCCATTCTCTCCCTTAGTAATCAGGAAATGATTTGACTAGGCTACCAGATGACTGTATGATAAGGATAGTGACAAATGTCTTGAGCCTTTGAGTTTTGGAACATAGAATAATAGTTGGAAGGGAGCTTGGAGATCTTCCTGTCCACCCCCCTGTTTGAGCAGGAGACCCTATCCCACTCCAGACCAATGGCTGTTCACTCTCTGCTTAAAAATCTCCAGTGTTGGAGCACCCAAAACTTCGGAAGGCAAGCTGCTCCATTGATTGCTCTCACCGTTAGGAAATTTCTCCTTAGTTCTGAGTTGCTTCTCTCCTTCATTAGTTTCCATCCGTTGCTTTTTGTCCTGCCTTCCGGTGCTTTGGAGAATAGTTTGACCACCTCATCTTTGGAGGAACCCCTCAAATATTGGAACACTGCTATCATATCTCCTCCAATTGGATGGGGAGACAGAGGCTCTAATGACGCCTTTGGTCTCCATCTTTGGCAGGAAAATGATATCATAAGGCTAGAAGACAGCATAGAGGCGCTGAGGTCTCAGCGACACCAAGAGGGGTCCGCAAGGACTTCTCGTGAACCCAATAACGAGACGGAAGAGCTGAACCAGGGCATACAGGACTTGTTGACGGAGAAAGAAGAGCTTGAATACCAAGTGGCTGAGCTGCGGCGGGTAGCCCAGAAGAGATATAAGCGCAGGTGAGCAATCCTTTAACGACAACAAAAGGTTTACTCTGGGTGGAATGTCGTGGCACTTTTTATTCCGTTAAGCAAGAAGGAGCTAGGAGATACCGTTTCACAAGTTTTTCCTGTGACGCTCCTGTGATATGTAGAGCAAATCTGGAGAACTTTATCAATCTCATATAACTATTTATTAAATGAATAGCTTGGTTTTCCTTGCAGAACTCTGGATTGTTTACCCTTAAAACTGGTGCTTAAGGGATGACAACAATTTAGATAAGGATGAGAGCAGAAAACCAGGGATATTTCTGGCTGACAGTCTTCCTTCCTTCCTTCCTTCCTTCCTTCCTTCCTTCCTTCCTTCCTTCCTTCCTTCCTTCCTTCCTCTTTCTTTCTTTCTTTCTTTCTTTCTTTCTTTCTTTCTTTCTTTCTTTCTTTCTTTCTTTCTTACTTTCTTTCTTTCTTTCTTTCTTTCTTTCTTTCTTTCTTTCTTTCTTTCTTTCTTTCTCTCTGCTGTAGAGATTTTATTGAAGGGCGTGGGGACGCCCTGACTGCCGAGCTGGAATTGGAAGATTCGATCCACTGCCATGAAAATATCATGGACGAAATTGAATGCGTGGAAAAGACGCTTCTGAAGCGACGGGCAGAACTCAGGGAGGCAGACTGTCTTCTGGCCGAAGCTGAAACGGAGCTCGAAAACACTCGAGGAAAGGTAAATTTTTTAAATTAAAAAAAAAAAAGTATATATGTTTTTTTAAATTAAAAGCTGATGGCCAAGTCACGTATAGAGCATACTCGCAGGTATTTCCAATTCTCCGTTTGGAAATACAGCCTGTCTTTTTAAAGAGGTCATTTAAAAAATGCAGGTATAGTCCTCAATTTACCACCGTTCGTTTAGCGACTCAAGTTACAACGGCGCTGAAAAAAGTGCAGCATCCCCCGTGGTCATGTGATCAAAATTCAGATGCTGGGCAACTGACTCCTGATGGTCACAGGATCTCCTTTTGCAACCTTCTGACAAAGTCCAGGTGGAAGCCAGATTCACTTAACAACCATGTCACTAACTGCAGTGATTCACTTAACAACCGTGGTAGGAAAATGGAGCAAAACCCATTTAACTACTGCCTCACTTAGCAACAGAAATTTTGGGCTCAGTTTTTGATCCTAAGTTGAGGACGGATTGTAGCTGTGATCTAAAATACCTGTTAGCGAATTCCCCCTCCTGCTTGTCCTATTTCTTACTCAGCCCTTCCAAGGGCTGAATAATGGAATTATTCTTCTTTGACTAGTCACAGATCTGTTTATTTCCCCTTCCAGACCAAAGACACTCTTCAGAAATATAACAGCGCTAAGCAACATTTGTCTCGGACAGAGAAAGACGCTGAGGAGCTTGAACGACGGGCCCGGGAGACGGCTGTGAGGCTTGTGAAAGCAGATCAGGAGTTCAGGTGAACTTAAGTGACTTTAAGCTCACATTCTTCACCCCAACCAAAACAGGGCCCTGTGGTGACTCAGGAGACTGGGAACAGAGCAGGCACACAGAGTACTTGCTCTTGATTCAACGAACAGCCTTGTTTGCTTTTACGGGCGTGTAACAGTTGCTGTGGGAGAAGAATCGGTGCGGCAGGCAGCCTGTATATTTATGCACACCCACCTTCCTGAACCTGCAATCAATTTAATTGCTTTGATCAATGGGCTGCTCTTCTCCGTATTTACTTGGCTTTCATTATTATTGAACGACGGTGTTGATTTCAGTGCCCGTTTAAGCCTTTTATTATAAACCTCTCCCTGAAATCAGCAGAAAGGCATCCCTTAAATGGAACCGCAAGTTCAGCTTCCAAGCACGGATCCTCAACAATCCAAAACAAGGTTGCCCGCGCCCTCAAGGCAGGGCCTGTGAAATCCCCTGGCTTAGCGACGGTTTGTTTGCAGAAGTACAAAGAAGGATAAAAAAATATGAAAAAGAGAATAAAAAGATGGGATCAAACCCACTTCCTAACGCCCACTCAGGAAACGATAAAAGCTCAAACATTATCTGGTTTTGTGTGTGTGGTTTCCATTAGATACACGGATCCTAGAATCTGCCCATTGGGCATTTAGGTTTAGCTCGTGATTTAAAAAATAAACCCCCCCGAAAGAATCGATTTTCACAAGCACGCAGTCGAGAAATCTTTTGGTGATTGCCTTTCAGATTGCTTCAAGCCGATGCCCTGGATTTGGAACAGCACAAGATGGAACAAGAAGGAATTCTGAAAGAAATCAACCAAATTGTATCGGCGAAAGATTCTGAATTTCAAGTCTTGAGCCAGAAGATAGAAATATTGACTGAGAGGTATTTTTGACTGGTGCATCTGATGGACATCAAACCTCCATCACCTCCATCTTTTTTTTTTACTTTTCACCGTAGTCTCAAACATGCCTTTCTCTGAAAAGGCACCGCAGTGCCTTTTGGGAGTGAGTAGACAGCCAACTCGAGCTGAACCATTTTAGCAAATAGGCTGGCTCCTTCTCCCTCTCCGAAATAAATACGTTTCGGTTTTCATTCTTTTCCAGCCTTCAGAAGCTGCAAACCGACATCCAGGTTGCAGGAGGCAATGAAGATCACCACCTTCAGATCCTTAAAGAAGCAGAGGACATCCTTCTGAGCAAAAAGCACGACCTGGAGAGGTTGAAAGATCAGGTGGGTGGAATCCTTCCTGATCCACATTTCCCAGAATATTCTGAGCTAGCCCTTGGACGCAGCCAGATAGAAAACTGGGAAAGCCTGGCTTCGTAACCAGAGGGAGTTTATTATCCACGAATACCAGCGCAACTCTGGCTAGTATTTTAAATGTACAAAGAGCCACACGGGGCCTTATCGCCGTCTGACCAGCAGCTCAACCAATGAGCTGGTTTGAGTTTTGGAAAGTCATGAGTAATCAGGGAGCTCCTGTGCTGCTACAGAATGCGGTTAGCCCATCTTGCCATCCAGGACAGGTAAAGAAAGAAAGAAAGAAAGAAAGAAGGAAGGAAGGAAGGAAGGAAGGAAGGAAGGAAGGAGCTTGGATTGCCCTGAAGTCTGCTAAATAAAGACTTGATTTGTTCTGCACCTGAACGCTTTCTCGTTTTTGGCAGACTGCCGTACAGCAGCATGAGCTACACGCGGTGGGCAGATTGCTTGATCAGAAAAGGGCCGAGATGCGCCTCCTCCAAGACAGCATTGCTGAGAAAAACGCCAACTTTGCAGACGCTCTCAGGGATGGAGAGGCAGAGATAACTGAAAAACGGCAGCTAATAAAGGTTTTGATTCCCCCCCCCCCTCTGGTCACATTACAGCTTTTTTTTAGAGGTTTGTTTTCAATTGCTTGGAAATCTTATTCAGAAAGTCTCTGTCAGGTTTTGTCCGTTTGGACTATTCTGTTGTTTTTCACGTGATCCTATTTTTTTGAGAACTGTTTTAATTCAGCGTTCCCCATTGAGAAAGTAAAGCTACCCTCAGGTGTGCTGGTAGCTCTGGTGTTGCCAGCACTCGATCTGAATGGAGCTGCTTGTTGCTTGTTGCTTGTTGCTTGTTTCCAAAACAAACCCTTCCATTCTTTCTTCGTTCTTTCCCTAGGAAACGAAGACTTTTCTAGAAGACCTGAGTGTTCAAAAGGGAGAACTCAACGCCCAGCTAAGTGAGAAAAGATCCCAGCTTTCTCTCGTAATGCAGAATATCCGAAAAGAAGAAACAAAGCTACAGGATATCTTGGGGCTGATAAAGCAGCATAAGACAGGTTTGGCTTGAAAAAAAGAAAAAAAGAAATTGTAGCTACGTCTGTAGCTTTCTGTATATACCTACCAACATTTACTTAAATGGTCTTATGTGCTCTTTTCTGTCGTTCCTTAGAACTGAAGCACATGCTGGAAACGGCCCACCTGGGAAAAGAGGAGCTCGAAAGCCTGAAGTTTCAGCATAACCAAAAGACAAACGAGTTGGACAAAATTGAAAGATTGATTCTGGAGGTAAAAGAAGCCACATTTTGTAGCTATGGTTCAACTTAGGAAGCTCTGCCTTAGGAGAAAGTGGCACCTCTGCTGATGCAGGCAGGGCAAGCTGTTGTACATAAACGGCGATCAATCCCCACGTTCACCCTGGCCCTGATGGTGTTACCTTGTTGGGTAATGAAACGTCTGCAAGTGAACAAGTTAAGAGAGCACAGTGTGTGAATTTATATTTCCTACTTTATCATTTTCGTGGATATTTGGGTGATGTGTTTTTTATTTTATGGTTTTGATTTTTAGTCATCCAGAATCTTGGGAATGGGCTCTCTCTCTCTCTCTCTCTCCCTCTCTCTCTCTCTCTCTCTCTCTCTCTCTCTCTCTCTCTCTCTCTCTCTCTCTCTCTGTGTGTGTGTGTGTCTCTCTCTCTGTGTGTGTGTGTGTCTCTCTCTCTCTCTCTCTCTCTCTCTCTCTCTCTCTCTCTCTCATCATAACCCCCCCCCCGAGATTAGACTGGCCCCCACTCTGACACTCTTTAAGAAGGCACTGAAGACCTGGTTCTGCCAGCGGGCCTGGGGAACCCAGAGCGGGATGGAGCCCATTAAATGGCTAGTTTGAATGTGTGTTGTGGCTGGGGTGGGGGTTATTATTTTATTATTTTATATTCTTTTTACATCTGTGTATGCCACCTTGAGTGGCCACGTGCAAGCAGGCGGCAATATAAATTTTCTAAATAAGTAAATAAAGACAAATTAGGTAAATAATACTAGGGGGATGTGTTTGTTATCTTATTTTATGGTTTTTGGTTTCTAGTCACCCGGAATCTTGGGAATGGGCAGCCTACAAATTAAGTAATTAGTAATAATAATGAGCTTGCCCTGTCATGCAGCAGTGAGGGTGCAGTGATGGGGAAGTTAAACTTTGGGCAGCCGTCTTCATGCGGGTGTTTTTAAACCCCAGGAGAAGCTGGAACTGGAGAACCTCCAGCAGGCATCCCAGCGCCAGCGAGGGGAGGTGGAGCACCAGAGGCAGCTTCTCCAGGAGGCTCAGCGGGAAGCCGAGCGGCAGACCTCTCAGCTCCATCTTCTGCAGAACCGCGTCAAGGCCCTGAATGATGAGAAGCGACAGCTGGAGGCCAGGTGTGAAAGCCTGGAGGACAAATTCACCCAGAGCAAAAGGTGAGGATGGAGGTTTGGAGAGAGGCGTCTTCTTAAAAGGCTGATCTTAGCAAATAAATAATAATAATAGTCCAAAACGTGTGGAAGAGATCGTTTTATAGGAACTTACACAGTCTTATTTGAAAGTGTCATCTTTCTATTTTTCCCACGGCATGAGAGAAACTAATGGAACCGCCGGTTTTCCTTCCGTGTGAAATGGACAACTAGTAGATTCCTTCTTTGGGCCCAACGATATCGTAGGGGTAGACTTGGGAAGGTTTTCTGTAACACACTTTCCTAATACTATCAACCTAAGAGGGGGGGAAGGCATTTAAGAAATCTTGATTAGTAGAGGAGAGTAGTCTGTTAAAACAATAAAAATAATTAATATTCACTCTTCCACACCAGGGGTCTTCGAACTTGGCCCTTTTATGACTTGTGGACTTCCAGAATTCCTCAGCCAGTATGCTGAGTTGAAGTCCACAAGTCATAAAAGGGCCAAGTTCGAAGACCCCTGTTCCACACCATCCCTGACGAATCATATATCACCTGCTAATAACTTCGACCGTCTGCGAAATGAAACAGGCTGGTTTCATATTCAGTTCTTAGCAGTCCACCAAGCTGCACCTGCCTCTCTGCTTTAATTTCGGGAAGAGAATCCCAAAGACAGCTGGACTTTGTTTTTCCCTGAACACATTTCGCTTCTCATCCAAGAAGCTTCTTCGGTTCTTCTTCTTCAGAAGTGAAGAAGCTTCCGGGATGAGAAGCGAAACGTCTTCAAAAGAAGTCCAGTTGCCTTTTTGAAAAAGCATCTTTGGGACAATCGTAACCTGGATGATTGAGAGTCTCCATGGACATTTGTGAAGTTGAACTTGTGGCTTTCTCTTTTGGCAGAACCTTAGCCTCCACAGAAGATAACAATAAAAATATCCTTGCCAGCACGGAGAAGTCTGTACTGGATTTCCAAAAATTGCAGTTTGAAATCGACGAGCTTCACAACCAGAAAATAGCTCTGAATAAAGATATCGCTGAGCTGCAGAAGCATTTTCACGGTACGGGAAACTTTTGCGGTTGTTTTGCATATAGATGAGTGTCTTGTGTAGGATAAAACACCATTCAGAAGACGATCTTTTTTTATCAACCTTTCTATTTTTCTTTCGATTGGCCTCTTCCGCAAAATATCGCCATTATTTTCCCCTTTAGGAAAAAAGGAGGAATTGGACGTTTTGAAGACGGAACTGAACGACGCCAGGCGTTATCTTCAGCTGTTGGAGCAGGTGAGCTTTGTTTAGATTGACTGTTCTGTGTTAAGGATGGGGAAATGTATTGCAGCCAGGAGCCAGTCCCCCAAGGATGCAAAGATCAGGGCAAAGATATAAATACTTCAGCCCAAAATCAGACTGCTGACATGGTTCCGAAAAGAAGTAACTTTTCAAAGAACTTTGAGGCTTAATTACCTTAAAGAATCCTTTAATAGATTACATGCTTCGGCACGAACAATAGAAAGCCAAAAACTGAAACCCCCACCACCCAAGCACTTGTGACAAAGCACAACTCCCTCCCTCCTTTCACAGTCATCAATCATATGCTCCAATTAATTTGAAGTGTGAGTCGCTCCCCCCCTATTCTCTGCTATTGCGCTCTGCTGTTACGCTGACCTTGGCTGTGCTATGCTAAGATAATGTTATTATTCACTGGCATTCCTCCCCACTCACACGGTTAGTAATGTCTGCTTTAACCCTTGAAGTGATATGTAGGCTAAATAAGATATGTTTGCTTCTTCACATATGGCAAGCAAGAACATCCAATGTTAGCAGACTTGACAACTGCTAAATGAAGGCATGGTTTTCTACTGGAAACCCAAAGGGAGAAAAGAAAGCCTATTTGCAATTTTTTGGTCCTGAGAGCTACACCCGGATTTATCTGTAGCAAGGGCCTACTTTGTAGGCTTCTGAGATAACCCCACCAAAGGGTTTGATCAGCAACATTAACGAGCATCTTAAATCTTTCTTTTTCTTTTTTTTAATATAAATTTTATTAGTTTTAATGGGGTTAGGGATAAAATGGGGTCGGGATTAGGGTTGGGATTGGGGTTTTCCAAGGTAACATTTTCAATATTTAGCAAACAGCATATTATCTGGGTACATGCATTTAACTAAGCATAATAGATGTAGTTAATTATCATAAACAGTATTAATTAATCGCTCAGTAGCCGCCTTCTTAAATCTTTCTCTTTCAACTCTTCGCCAGGACGTGAAAGAGGCCGCCGAGGAAAAGCAGCAGCTTCTCCAAGAGCAGAAGGTCCTAAAAGACACCCTCCACGAGTCTTCCAGGAAGTGCAAGGAGACCCAAGAAGCCCAGAGGGAAACGGAAAACCGGCTACACCAACTCAGCAAGGAGCTTAAGGAACAGGAGCTGAAACAGGCCAAACAAGAGACGGTACATTCGTCTTTTTTTCCATTTGGGTTTTCACTGATCTGCTGGCTGAATTCTTTCTTTTTTGAAGACGAACGAAAAATGGGGGGAAAAACTGGAAAGGTTGATTCTGGAGGTAAAAAGAAGCCATGATTGTTCTCGGATCGGTGATTCAGTAGCTTCTCCGTACCACAAATTCTCTGTAAGCCCAGTTGTTTAGAATTTACAAGAGTTTGGTCGTTATTTATTTAAATCGCACCCCGCCTTTATTATTTTGCAAATAACTCAAGGCAGTGAACATATTCTACATGCTTTCCTCCTCCTGTTTTTCCCACAACAACAAGCCTCTGAAAGCTGAGTTGGTCTGAGAAAGAAGGACCGGTCCATAGTCACCCAGCGGCTTTCATGGCTAAGGCAGGATTGGAACTCACCGTCTCCTGCTTTCTATCTTAGATGCTTTAATCACTAGACCAGGGATAGGCAACGTTGGCTCTTTTATGACTCGTGGACTTCAACTCCCAGAATTCCTGAGCCAGCATGGCTGGCTCAGGAATTCTGGGAGTTGAAGTCCACGAGTCATAAAAAGAGCCAAGGTTGCCTACCCCTGCACTAGACCAAACGAGTTATTAATGTTGTCAACCAAGAGGCATTTTAAAAGGAAAACAGGCCAGATTTTTTTTTTTTTAAAAAAAATGTACGATTCATATTGTGCCAAATACCTTGCAGCAGGAGGAGAATTTGGGCCAGTAGTTTTATGCCGTCGAGAGAGAAAAACCAGACCGTTCACCCATCCCAGTGACCTCTTCTCCCAGCCTTGCTTAACTCTCGATGGGTTGGTTTCATCCAGGTCCTTCAACATCTCGGGGAAGACGTCCTGCACGAAGAAAGAAAGTTGGCAGAGTGCGCAGACAGACTGAGGAACCAGAAACAGCAGCTGGAACAAGAGCTGGTAGAGCAGCAGGGTCACCTGGCGCAAGCTGTGGCCAAGGTCCAAGAGATGGAAGAACGGATCCGGAAGCTCCAGAAGGGGGAATCCCACGTTTCAGCTCTTGAAGAAAAACTCCACAAAGCCAGTGAGTGGTATTTAAAGCTGGGAACACTGATGTATGTTCATGGGAAATGCATCTCCATTGAATAAGAAATTCAGCGTGATGTTTCAGCTAAGAATGAGGGAGATCAAGATTCAAGTTCCAAGCTCAGTAGTTGTACAGTTCAGCTGGAGTTTTAGCCATTAAAAACATTCCCTTTGTAACATCCTTTTAAATACTCTGAGTTCGCTGCAATGAGAATAGCATTTAGATATTATCAATTCTGCAGGATCCAATCTGAATCAGTCAGCTTTTGGGCTTGTGCTGGAGCCCATCCTCAGAGAACTTCACTCTCCCCAGAATATGTGCACCGGAATTTCTACGCGTTGTATTTTTATGGTTGCTGGTTGTGTGTAGCTTTTATTTGTTTAATTATGGGGCAGATGACTGACTATTAAGTCATGAATTGTTGTTTCCTTGTGCTGCCGTGCCCTCAGCTCCCAGGTACCCGATAGGCTGGTGGTAAATCAGCATTCCTGTTGACTAACAAGGGCCCCGTTTCCCAGGCTTCCATCATTTCTCTGGCTGTTTTTGTCCCTGCTCAGCCAACAATCATCGTAAATTCTCCTAGGAACGCCCTTCAGCAGATGAAAAGCAAAGCTGAGGCTCTTGGTAAGGTTGGCTTGGTAACCAAGACCGGCTCCTCTGTTTCCAGGGCATCAGCTCTCCGAAAAAGAACAGAAGCTTCAGGAAAAGATGGGGGAGATTTCCTGCCTGCAAAGAGAACTCCACCTCTCTAGAGCCGAGGAGAGGCTGCTCCAAGATCGGCTCCAAGCAGACCATCTCAAAGCAGAGAAGCAAATTGCAACTTTGAAGGAAACCATCAAGGGTCAAAGGGACCAGCTTGAAAAAGCCCTTCAAGTACGTCGCTGTCTCCCCCGCCCCCAACCTCCAGTTGCTTTCCCATTTTGGGTTGTGGGAGAGAGGGGCCACGGCAAGCAATGAGATAATAATAATAATAATAATAATAATAATAATAATAATAATAATAATAATAATAATAATAATAATAATAATAATAATAATAATAATAATAGTAAAGTTGGAAGGGACCTTGAAGGTCATCTAGTCCAATCCCCTGCTCAGGCGGGAAACCCTATACCATTTCGGACAAATGGCTGTCCAGTCTCTTCTTAAAAACTTCCAGTGTTGGAGCATTCACCGCTTCTGGAGGCAGGTTGTTCCACTGGTTAATTGTTCTCACTGTCAGGAAGTTTCTCCTTAGTTCTAGATTGCTTCTCTCTTTGATTAGTTTCCACCCGTTGCTTCTTAAACACAAGGAGCGGCTGACTCGGCCCCAGTTCTCCCAAACTCTACGAATGCTTGGAAGTGGTTGTAGAATACGCCTTAAATAGCCTTATTCCAACTGCGTAAGGTTCTGGGAAAAGGTGGTTCATTCAAGACCACCTAATGAATTCATAGGACCTCCGTCGGTCATTTCTGGATTTACAATCCAGTTGTCTCTCACAACTCACAACACGGAGCCGTTGGATCCTATCCACGTGGGATGACCTGAAGTAGGGCCAGTATCCTCCAGATGTTCTGGACCAACTCCAATCCAATCCGGTGTGGCCCTCTGGGGCTTATGTGTTTGTGTGTAGCTTTAAATCACTGAAGGTCACAATGGAGCATTCTTCCGGCCCCTCCGTGGAATGTATTTATTCAGATGAAAAGAAAATATATATATATATTCTTCTTCAACTCGCCGCTCTCATTTAGGAACAGAAGCAAGAAAACTACGGCTTGCAGCGAGAAATAACCTCACTGGAACAAGTGGCCCGAGAGAATCACCAGCGGGCCAAGCGGTTGATGAGGGACCTTGGCCGGATCCAAGAGGAGCACGCACAACTCAAATCACAGGTAACACTCTGGAGCCTCCAAATAGCCTCCCCGTTGCCCAGAAAGATAAGTGTCCACTCTTGACCTGCTAGTCAGGAGAATAAACTTCTTACCACAATCTAGAATTAACGTACGAATGACTGCTCCTAGATACAGGATTCACAACCCCTGAGATCTTGGAATAAAGCAAGAGGAAAGGGCTATCAGGGCTCTGGGGGATTGTCCTGCCGGTGTGTAAATTAATACAGGTAGTCCTCAACTTAACAACAGCTCATTTAGTGACCGTTTGATGTTACAACTGGAAAAAGTGACTTACGACCGGTTTTCACACTTAACGACCGTTGCAGCACGCCCACGATGACATGATCATGACCCTTGGCAACTGACTCATATTTATGACCGTGGCAGTGTCCTGGGATGGGATGGCCTTTGTGAAACCCAAAGATTTTAATTGCAAAAGAGACAAATTCAACCTTCTGACTAGCAAGTTCAACTGGGGAACTAGATTCGCTTAACAACCAGGTTGCTCATTTAACAACTGCAGTGATTCGCTTAACAACTGTGGCAGGAACGGTCGTAAAAGGAGGCAAAACTCACTTGACCAATGTCCCAAAGCTGCTTTTTTTTTTCAGGAGGCAACTGGACTTCCTTTTTTTTTCTTTGAATACGTTTAGCTTCTCCTCCAAGAAGCTTCTTCAGCTGGATGAGAAGCGAAACGCCTTCAAAGAAAAACAAAGGAAGTCCAGTTGCCTCTTGAAAAAGCACCTTTGGAACAACCCTGGACCTGGAGGACAGAGAATCTCCATACCGTAGTCACTTGATAAATGTGTTTCCCTTAGCAACAAAAATTTAGGGCTCCGTTGTGGTCGTAAGTTGAGGACTACCTGTAATGACAATGCAAAAGGATTGTAAAACGTGAAAGGACGCCTCATTAAACACAAATCATTAAAGAGCTGCTTCAGCTGTTCACTTTTAATTAGTTGCATCGATTAGATCAACTTGTCCATGGGGCCTTCTGGCCCTTGGGTGCTGAGCCCCCCCCTCCTTCCTCCCAGAATCAGAGAGATGTAAGGCCACTCGGTGCTTCAACATCAGTGTTGAATGACCATTGCGTCTTGTGTCTCAGGTGAAGAACCAGGAGGAGCTGGAGAAACAGCAGAAAGAGCTGAAGGGCACCGTTAAGCTGGTCAGACTGGAAGTGAAGGATAAAATGAGGAACGGCTTGAAGGATCTGAGCCAGTCTCCTCCAGAATTATTGGAGGACAGAGACGCTAACCTGGAAGTGAAGGCAAGACTTTGGAGCGACCTGGAAAGCCTGAAGGAAAACTACCCATTCACTGAAAACAAGGCCAGGATGCCGTACTGGGATGAAAAGCTGGACCTCTCTAAAGTCCACATCACAGTAAGTACGTTAAGAAGCAGAGTTGTACCAAGGATCAGAGCAACGGGCCGCACACACGATACTGTAGCTAGCATGAACGTCCACTTGAAGGAACTTCTGCACCTTCCACGCAAGAAAGTTGCACCTAGGTTAGAAATTCATATATCCAAGCAGATTGTTCCCACGTGCAGCTTGCCCAAATCCTTGCCTTTTCCACCATTCTCCCATTGTCATTTTTTTTTTTTTTTTTGGCTACTCACAGTCCAGGTTTCATTTCTAATCTAAAAATGAGATCTAGGAGTTCGGGTTTAAATCTCTGCCTTGTAAGCACGAGTCCACATTTAAAGTACCTGCATGATAGCTATTGTATCACTGGGTTTGCTACACATGATAGTTAACACCTAGTTTTACCCCACATTCCACCCCGAATGAGTGTGAAGGGATGTCACGAGGCGCCTTCTTTTTCCTCTCAAGTTACCTGCCAAGGATTCTTCTCTTCATCAATCCTTTTTTTTCTCCCAAGGACGAACAGTGGCGTGGAAAAGTACGCCGGGAAGAACTGCAACACCACGAAGATCGTCTCAAGGTAGTGACGATTCGTATGTACGGCTACCAGACTTTTGCTTGGGATGGGGAATAGAACCAGGTCGTCCTCAACTTGGAACGGTTCATTCAGTGACCGTTCAAAGCGAGGGCACTGGAAGAAAGTGACATACGACCGTTTTTTTTTACACTTGCAGCTTCCCCTGGTAACGTGTTCACATTTCAGACACGCGGCAGCTGGCTCATATTTGTGACGGTTGCACTGTCCCCTTTTGCGGCCTCCTGCTCGGCCAAGTCAACGGGGAAGCCAGATTCACTTAACAACGGGGTTACTAACTTATCAACTCCAATGATTCGCTTAACAGCTATGGCGAGGCAGGCCGTAAAATGGGGCAAAACTCAAACTTGACAAATGTCTCACTTAGAAATTTGGGGCTCCATCGGTGGTCGCTAAGTCGAGGGCTACCTGTAGCCCTTGGGAGAATAAAACCCTTGCTTTAAATTTAGAAGGTCACTTCTGGATTAATCCAGAGCGAGTGGCAGAGACCCTCCTGCTCTGGTGGTCCTCTGCCCTAAGCAGACCAGATCTCCCTCGCTGATTTAACGTGGAACCTCTCCATCCAGGCTCAACTCCGGCAGTGCATGTCAAAGCAAGTGGAGGCCTTAATTAAAGGGAAGCAGGAGACCGAGGGCACCCTGCACAGTCTGAAGAGACAAGTCGATGCCCTGGACGAGCTGGTCAGCAGCAGCTCTACCGATTCCTTGTTTCCGTCCTTAAACTCATCGGGATTCACAGATTCTCTGCGCCAAGAGCCAAGCCTGGCAAAGATTCAGGTACGATTTGCCCGACAACCTGGTTTTCTTAACTAGCGTTTGCACGGGACGATCTTTACAGCAACACACATCGAATGTCTTACCCTGTTAAGCCTGGATCCAAACTGTCCTTTCTCATGAATGTCCTCGTGGCCTTTTTTAAAGCATCCCTATACTGTCTTCACTCTGAAACAGCTTTAATAGAGCAGCATTAAACATAACAGCACTTTGAGAATCATTTTTAACAGGTCAGCAGCCAGCGTTGTTTTACGCCCTGGAATATTTGCAAGGTACCAACTTGGGGAAAGATTTAAAGCCTTCTTTCTCGGAGTGGCTGGAGGCGGGTTACGCTCCGCACGGTGAATATGTTCACTTTGGAAAATTTAATGAACCTGCCTTGATTGTGTACATGAAAGTATTAGAAATCAGTTTAAAGTGTTTTCTCCTTAAAGAGAACTTCAGCCTGCGTAGGACTTTTATAAAATCAAAAACCGTACCGACAGCACTGTTTAGTTAAGGTTTTGGGTTTTTTTTTCTCTCTCTAGTCCACCAGATCCCCTTCTCCCTGGACCACTGCAGATGCTTCAGCCCAGTCTAAAGTGATTTATCAGTACAAGACATAGTTTCAACAAAGAAGGTGAGAGGCGGGAGACCAACCAGGTTATGAATAGTTTTAAACATGGGTTGACCAATTAGAAGACTTAAGTCACAGTTTACGTATATTCCTTCTTCGTAGCGTGACAAAGGTTTTTTTTTTTACTGTGGTCAAGAAAAGATCTTAAAAATCCATTGTGGCCCTGGACAGTTATTGCAGTCACCAGCTACAAAACTGCTCCAGATTATAGGTAGTCCTCAACTTACAACAGTCCATTTAGTGACTGTTCAAAATTACAACAGCACTGAAGTGGCTTGTGATCGGTTTTTCACGCTTACGACCGTTGCAGCATCCCCAGGGTCACGTGATCAAAATTCGGATGCTTGGCAACTGACTCGCATTTATGACGGTCGCAGCGTCCCGGGGTCACGTGACCCCCTCTATATTCAAAGCCTGGTTGTCTGTTCCAAGCCAAAATGCTGCTTCCTTAGAACTAATAGATTATGAATAAAATGACACAAGTTGTCACGAGGAATTGCGAAGGGGAGGGAAGGGGTGCCTATAACTTGCTGCTTGGGACTTAAAAATTGTTTTGTTTTGTTTTTGGGTTGACAGAGACAAAGACTGTGCAAAAATGGGGTTTGCGAAGCCTGTGCCAATTGGATGTGAAGAATTATGAAGACTACCTCATTTATTTACGAGTTTAAAGGTCTTTTGAGTCACCTCACCTGTCCTCAGTTTCCGCATCTCTACAGCAGAATTCTGCCGTAGTGAAAGCAACGTCAAGGTGTTTTGTATTCCCTTTGGCGTGGAGGCGATTCTAGGAAGAGGTGTGTCTTTCGCGCTTTTTACATTTCTTTTTAACCACCGTTTAGCAAAGCGGCTTTTTACGGGATAAAATATTTTGTGAATAAATTTTTTTTGTACAAAACGGTTCGAGCTTTTCGAGTGTTCCTGCTCGATAGCCCGTAGAGGATGGCAGCGACATTTTAAATGTCTCCAAGTCTCTTCTCTCTTTTATTCAGACAGCATAATAATTCTCAACATAGGAAACCCATTTGTCTGAAATGGTGTTAGGGTTTCCTGCCTGAGCAGGGGGTTGGACTAGATGACCTCCAAGGTCCCTTCCACCTTCTTTTTTATTATTGTTATTATTATAAACCCCCTGTAGATTTCCTCAATCTTTATGGCACGCCATAGAAGAATTCAAGTCTATGGATATTCTCAATCGTCGTTGTCCTGAAGGTGCTTTTTCCAGAGGCAACTGGACTTCCTTTGTGTTTTCCTTGAAGAGGTTTCACTCCTTATCCAAGAAGCTTCTTCAGTTCTCATCCAAGAAGCTTCTTCAGTCAGAACTGAAGAAGCTTCTGGGATGAGAAGCAAAATGTCTTCAAACAAAAACAGAGAAAGTTCAGTTGCCTCCAGAAAAAGCCCCTTTGGGACCAAGCCCAACCTTTAAAGCAGTGGTTCTCAACCTGTGGGTCGGGACCCCATTTGGGGTCGATCGACCATTTCACGGGGGTCGCCAAGCAAGGCTGTCCGCCATTTTTTTTGTCTTTCCCTTTTCCGGCGGGTGCCTTACCTCCCTTGGGCTGGGCCAGCTGGTGGTCGGCCTGCTCCGTCTCTGCAGCTTGCCAGCTACGCCTCGGCCGGCGCAGGGGGCGGAACCACGCATGCGCGGCGCTCCCGGGCAGGGAAAGTCCTCGACTTACGACCGGTTTAGTCCTCAACTTACAACCGGTTTAGTCCTCGACTTACGACCGGTTAGGTTGAGAACCACTGCTTGAAAGGTTTCGAGGGATTTTTTTTCCCCCCTGCCCTTTAAAAAAAAAAAAAAGAGCACTCATCTCGGTCGTCCCACAATTCATAACCCTTTTGTTCTGCCTCTTCAAAAAACGACTACTCTCGTTGGTCTCTAGATACAGGTACTTTATTTACAAATATTTAGAGAATAGCATTGTTACATTAAATGAGTACAGCAGCCCAAATAAATCCTGTCACAGAAATGAAGACCTACTGTAACTTGAATTGGGGGGGGGAGAGAGAGGGGGGGGGGAAGAGGAGGTAAGAAAAGGGATTATTGCACCGCCAACAAGCTGCAGGAAGCAAATTGCCTTTGCCCAAAACTTAAGTTGTGTCAACAGATCGTGGTCCCTGGGCAACCCTCGCCCCACCCACACCCCACACCCCACGGTGCAATTCGAAGAGCAGAATTCTGTAACACCCATCTACTTTTTAAGAATCTTGAGATTTCAGGAGGGAGGAGAAAAAACTGGAGCCAAAACGTAAAGGGGCAACGTAAGCGAGGGGAGAGCGCACAAGCTACCCAAATGCGAATCGTTTGCACATCCCAAGTTTTGGCTTTCGGTTCACACGTTGACTGTACATTATGCTGGTTTGTCCGCTTTTGCGCACACTGGAACGTGGCCTGGTTTTAGTGTCAAATCGAGGGGTCGCTGAGACACCGCGGGCAACAGAACCAAACGTGCTCATCCTTTCCCCAGCCGGCCTTAACCACCTCTCGGCCAGATTGCCATTGAGAGAACCATTAAGGGTGGAGAGGGGTCTGTGGGTGGCTCCATCCTGCAGGCCACCCCTCTCCTTAAGCCCTCTTCCAGGGACAGAGGCTTGCAATCATGGCAGAGAGGAACATGGGGAGAGCATCGGCAGCCAAGCCAGGGGAACTGTAGTGTCAAATGCCATAGTAGAGTCCAAAGTCCCTCAAGAGTAATGCTTTTTGCGACCGTCCAGTTTAGAGCAGACCTTTCCCAGAAGCATACAGATGTGCAATATACAGCTGGAATAAATGCAGAACTTTTTTTGGGGGGGGGGAGAGGGAAAGCGAGTTAGCACATCCTCAAGTGCACAAGACCTGGAGTAACAGCAAAGAAAAATAAAAATAGTAGTAGGTTGCTCACCGGGCACAGAGGTCCTACACTGGGCTAGCAATGCCCTGGGAGCTGCATCAAGGTCCTCTGGACAACCGCCAAACGTCATAAGAGTTGAACCAGGGTGGCCAATGACTGCAGTCACTAAGCGGGGCGACCTGGCCATCTTTAGTGGAGCTGTACAGATATTTCACTTTTAAGTTTCTAATGCCGGTCATTAAGGTTTGGGTTTTTTTTCTTCTTCTTCATTAAAATCATATACACAGGATGTATTTGAGTGTCTAGCTTGGTTCCGTCAAAATTTATACATATTTACGCTTGGTTAATAAGGGCCCGTGTGGGTAAAAATAGGGAGCAGAAGCAGCAGCATAAAGATACCGGGTACGAGATAAAAGCCAGGCCATGTCCCAGGCCGAGAGAGAGGGGGCGTACACCACAGCAATAAGTGTCTTTCTTTTCCCCCCCCTCCCCTAAAAGCCCCAGCCACCACCACCACCACATCAGAGTTTCCCAACGAAAGCAATCTACGCAGGACCCCATTCTACCCTTGGAAATAGTTTTCATAGCAAATCTTTTTTTTTTTCCTTTCTTTTTTTTTTTTTTTTGTTACTAAAAAGGACAGACCAGTTACAGACTGGGAGAAAAAGCTGAAGCTAACAAAGTTTACAAGAGACAAAGCTCTGCGGAGAAAGAGAAAGAGTGTGAAAGTCGTATGGGAGGGGGAGGTCCAGCATCAGAGCTCTGTTCTGTAAATCATGAATCGGTGACATCTATTCACAAGGACAATTAATTATGGGGAGGGGAAGGGAAAGGGAGAGAAGGGGGAATAAAGACGTCTAGATTTTCACCATGCAGGGAGAGAGGGAATGACTCTACTTGCCTTTGATAACCTGATTACATCTAAGTTTTTCTCTTATTTTATTCTTTAGCAGTTTAGTACTGTGTTAAACTCTTTTGCCTCAGGAGTTTTAATTAAACCTGGTAAGATGTGCGGAGGAAAAAACGGAAGCAGCCCCAAAAAGCACTGCTCTTTAACAGAGGTGAAAGGTCACAAACAGAGCCAAGGAACCGAGGTCACTAGCAGCCACAGCCTTCTCTTTGGGGCTGGGGTTCGTTGGTTAGCCGGCCGCCCTGTGGAGCTGAAGGCTTGTGCTGTACCCCTGACTCGGCCGCGTTCAGATCCAGGCTCCCGTCTTGGATATTCTGGTAGATTTTCTTGGCGGCCTCTAGGAACGCGTCTTCCACGTTCTCACCTCTGGGGAAAAAGGACAAGCCAAAGCAACGGCGTTAATTGGGGACACTTGCGACAGATGCAGGTGTATTTATAGCTTGCGGTTGGAGCCGGGGGTCCTCGGCGTGCTTGTTTTTTTCTTGCAGGTGTTTCATGACCTAACTAGGTCACGTCGGCAGTGCCGATGTGCGTGATCCACAACGATGATGTTCCCTAGTTGGGTCATGAAACATCTGCAAGAAAATAACCAGTATCGGAGAGCATCAAGGACCCCACAAAATGCACCCATCCTGCTTGCGCACTGCACTGTCCATGCTTTGAAGCAATAGCTAGCGTTACTAGAGCAATTTAACCATTGGCCTTAGAATAAATCAAGATGATTCTTGTGCTGCAAACAAGTCACTCTTTTTTGTTTGCCAGGTTTTTGGCAGAGAAAAAATCATGGGGAAAGAATCTCAGAACTCCTGTTTCTGTCGGGCTTTTTTTCTCCCCCCTACTACAATTAAGGAATTACACTGTCATTGCTTGCTTTGGCAGGCAAATGATGAATTCATCCACGAAACAAATGTGTGTTTTTTTTTTTAACATACAGCAACCAACTTACGTTTTTGCGCTCGCTTCAAGGAACAGCAAGCCTGTTGGGGAACAAAAAGCAAGGTCCACTTAGGTCGGAAATCAAAATAATTCCTCTTTCGGATCTCACCAACCAGCTAAGTTGGTGTCTCCAAAGTGACAAGGCCACGGATGCAGTTTGAGTAGCCCGATCCACGCGTAACCACATCACCACACAGAGGGCCTAAATCGGCACTACACTAAGCGGCTTCTGCGCGATCTTTTCTGCCAAGTGCTTAGCCACCCTCGGCTCTGCTTTGGCTACTCTGGTGCACCCACGCGTACCGTTCTCTTCAGCAAACTGCTTGGCTTCCTCGTATGTCACGTCTCTCTGGGCTTCCAGGTCTGCTTTATTTCCTATAAGGATGATCACCTGCATCCGGAACAAGAGACAGAACAGGGCATTTAGAAGAAATCCAGCAGCGGACAAGAGCCAGTTGTCAAAGGTAGGCCTTTTTGCCCCAAAGGATCCTGTTGGGATCCTTTGGCAGAGCACGCCTCATCGCAGCTAAGAAAACACACCCTTCCTCTCTCTCTAAGCATTAAAGGGGGAAAAAAATGGAACCGGGCCTCCCCAGAAGGGCGAGTCAGGATGCAAATGCTTTAATTAACGGACAATTTGGTTTCTGATTATGGTAAGGAAGCAGTTTTAAGGAACTGCTCATTATGAAATTAACACAAGACATGCTAGAAGAGGAAGTCAGAAAGCTAGCTAGCTTGGAATGACTGCTGTAGTTCACCACATCGTCAGGAAGGGAAGCTTTCTAGCCAATGCTGCACAAAAGGGAACGAATCCCCCCCTCCCCTTGGAATACAGAGCTGAGAAAAGCGTTCGTTTTCAAAACTGTCTCCCTTAAGCCAGTGATGGCAAACCTTTTAGAGACCGAGTGCCCAAACTGCAAACCAAAACCCACTTATGCATCGGCGGGTGCCGGGTGGGTGTGGCCCATTGGCTGGGTGTGGCCCATTGGCTGGGTGTGGCCCATTGGGTGGGCGTGGCTACGGTGATATCGGCAGACTGGGTGGGACTAAAAAGTTCAATCAATCAATTCCAACTTTGCAAGATCTTTTTTTTTCCTGCAAGAAGTTGAAATTGACTGATTGATTGAACCTTTTTTTTTTTGCACACGGCGGCAGAGGCCTAAAGCTAAAAGGTTTTATAAAACCCAGCTGAAGGCCTAGGACTGGGGCAACGGCCCGTGTGCCCACAGAGAGGGCTCTGAGTGCCGCCTCTGGCACCCGTGCCATAGGTTCACCACCACTGCCTTAAGCAAATTGTAATGGACTCTGTTCAGCTGCTCCATCACCTGGTGACTTCTAGAGACAGAGAGGAAGAGGGCGATGCCTACTATGAGAACGGAGGATATATTCCGTTCTAGGGGAAAGGAAGAGGGCTGAAGGCTAAAACTTATGAAGGACGGTTGCAGGAATTGGGTATGTCTAGTTTAATGAAAAGAAGGACTAGGGGGGACATGATAGCAGTCTTCCAATATCTGAGGGGCTGCCCCAAAGAAGAGGGGAGTCAAGCTATTCTCCAAAGCATCTGAGGGCAGGACAAGAAGCAACGGATGGAAACTAATCAAGGAGAGAAGCAACCTAGAATTAAGGAGCAATTTCCTGACATGTCAACCTGGAGATGAGCAGATGCTGTTTAGCAACCCCTGCCTTTAACACAAAAGGTTTCTAAATTGTGACACTCACAGTATTGGGGTTAGTTAGATTCCGTGCGTCTGTCAGCCAGCTGCTTAAATGGTTATATGTACTTCTTCTGCAAGAGAAAAAAGAAAAAGAAACAAAAGGTGTCACGTTTGTAGAGCACCAGCTAATTTGTCCTGCCTCTAAGAGGATCAGAGCAAGAGAAAGTCCAGCCTCATCCCATTTGGTCTGAGAAAGAAAGATTCACTATTTGGGTTCTTCCCTTCCCCACGCCTTTTTCCACCATGTCCATCAAAATGGCGTGCCTGCATGGAGCTTTTTAAACATCGATTTGAGAAGGCTGGGAAATTATTATCTGGCTAGGAAGAAGGGGTTTGATGAACTAGGCAAACTCTTGCTTTGCTCCAGAGTTCAGTGTCAGCTAAAAGAGCATCAGCTTCAATCAGAGCTGGTTAAGAGGCAGGCGGCACCGAGTTTAAACCACGGCCGAGTTCAAACCTCCAGCACAGAAAGACCGCTTACCTAGTGATATCATAAACCATAAGGGCCCCTGCTGCTCCTCTGTAGTAGCTCCGTGTGACCGCTCTAAACCTCTCTTGCCCCGCCGTGTCCCAGATCTGCAGCTTAATTTTTTGGCCGCTCACTTCAATTATCCTGGTACCAAACTCGACTCCAATTGTGTGGGGACAATCTGCCATAACTGTGAGGCAAAAGGAAACAACAGTGAGAAAGCACGATCCACCTAACGCCCGGCTTCCATTCACAGGGATTCCCACGTATCTGAAGACCTACTTAACCCACCTTCTCAGCCAAAAGGCACCCCCAAAATCAGCAGTTATGTTGGGAGGGGGTTCATTACAGAGAGCAATTAATTTCTGACTTGTTCTACTGCATGTTTCTTATAAGAGTGAGAAATAGACATGGGTTTTCTGCCAAGACCTCCCCAGCTCTAGTCACCAGCAAATGTATAAACCTTTGGCTGTTACATCTATCTCTGGACAAAAACACACAACATTAAACCAATAATGATTGCATTATTGCTTCAGTGAAATCCGGAATCATTCCCATTCCGTAAAAAGGCACTTTTAATAACATAACAGAAGTCTAGAATTAACATGTTGGGAAAACGGAGAGAATAAAGTCACGTTGTGTTTACTACTTCAACTACAAAGAGAGGTATACACACTTACACTTCTTTTCTGTAAACTGATGGAGCAAGCACGATTTTCCTACACCCATATCACCTTAAAATGAAAAAAAAAGAGGAATATTTAGAAGTGAATTGTTACCACTGCTGCCTTGACTTAGTATCTTTTGCAGAAATGAATTGTGGAATAATATGGAGCCATTTTGCCCACATAGATGGTGTAATGATCCACAATCAGCATTCTTCCGTAATAAAAGTGCCAAGCAAGCACCAAGAAAGTTGTTTTTTTAAAGGGAAATGAAAAGAAAAACTAGTGTATAATGCTACTGAGAACTGCTCTGGAATTTTTTTTTTCTGGTATTCCTATTACAGAATTTGTAACTGGAAGTAAGGTGATAAATGCTCCTACTTCTTTAATTTCTTCTGAAGGCCACGGATGAGTAAGATGAGTAACTCTAGCTGTATTTCCAGCTCTGAAACATAACTTATGTTTATACAACATGCTAGGCATTAGACATGGTCTGTAAACACACCAAAACCAAACTGATCACATTGTGTGCGCACATCCCGTGTCTAGGCTAAGAAAGATCTCAAAACACGGGGCCTATAAAAACAGTCCTCGGCTTGTGCCGATATTGGGGGCCAGAATTTCTGCGTGCTTGTTGGAAGCCCACTGGGAAGGTCCCAAATGGCAATCCAGGATCCTGCAGTCATTGTAAATCCGTGCCAGTTGCCATGCACCCAAATTTTGATCGCGTGACCATAGGGATCCCTGCAACACTCCTAGGTCACTTGTAGCTTCAGGTAGTCGATAAATGAATGCTTTCGAAGCTGGATTATCAGTCTAAGATCACATTCCAGGAATGAATGCTGGAGAATATTCCACCAGTCCTCCAAGGCGTATATCATGTTACTATCTAGCGTAGGCTTTGCCCAATACCAGACACAAAACCAGGATCAAATGTCAGCACCACAGTAGCAACTGAAGAAAGTGTCTTAAGGGTAAATCATTCTATCTCACTTCCTGGCTTTGAAATCCAAAACTCTGCCAGGCTGGGGAAAAAAAACACATCTGCAGGCTTGAGAGATTACTTGTGCAACACAAGCTTCTGCGGATAAAGAGCGCAGCAGTCTTAAGCATTAAAAATAACCTGAGTCCCTGCTTTTGAGGAACGGGGGCAAAAACCCTCAAGACCACTGAACTAAAAAAATTCAGCGACTTGTGACTTTGCATGCCACCTTTTCACCAAGCCTGGCGTGCAAGGGACGATTCGACAGATGCCGAAAAATACATCCTTTTTTTTTTTCCATTTCACTGCTTATTTGTAGGTTGGGCCCTTCCAGCATCGTCTTCCCACAACTTCTATTATCCCAAACCAGCTGCAGTTAAAAGTGCGGTAGCAGAAATAACGAGGCGTTTTTTAAACGATGTTAATACTTACCAATAATGATGTATTTAAAGATGTAGGAGTAGTTGTAAGGTGCAGTTGCCATTGTGGCACTAGAAAAGAAGAGAGAAAAAAACAGCTTAATGTGATTGTCCTTGGATCCGGTCCTATCAAATGTTTCACTTAGCAACATAACTTTTGGGCTCAATTGTGTCGTAACTCGAGGACAAAGGAAATATTAAAAATGCAAACTAAATTGGAAGCAAAGGCCTTTATAAAGGGCAGTAAACCATGCTGCAATGGTTGTTAAGTATGAAAAATGGCCGTAAGTCACTTTTTTTCAGGGCCGTTGGAACGTTGAACGGTCACTAAACGAACTACCAGTGTTGAAGTAAACATCATTTTTTGGATTTGTCCTCCAATCAGCAACGTCAGTTGCATATCCATCCCTTTAAGAATCTTACTTTAGCATCGGATCACTGCTCCTTCAAAAAAATATCGTGGAAGCTTTCCCACAGTGGACACACCTAGCTATTTTGGAGATCCCATGTGCACTTTCTCAATTTTCTGGCAGGATAGTGGAAGAATTTGTTGAGCAATTCTGAGCAATTCACCCAGCACCGTGCATTGCTAACATTGCCTACTCCCCATTATTTTAAGCCTCTTATTTTTCTCCTTTTCCTGGGAGAAATGATCGAACTGCGCCTTTAATAAAAACAACATAGTGGAAAAGATTCCCAAGCATTCACCAAGCTATTTACCTATTTATAAGTCTTAAATAAAGCCGGCTCATTTGTTTAGAGCTGAAGGTACAAACTTCCTATGCAAGCTATGTTAGCCAGTCTGTTTTTTGTTTTAATGAGCAAGTTAAAATAAGAGAAGCAGAACGACATTACACAGGTATCAAAGGAAAGATTAACCTATTAACTAAATCCATTGAAAACAAGGAAGGGGAGAGACTGCAGTGAATGGAAATTCATTGGAAATGAATTTATTGGTTCAATTTCTATAACCAATTAAAGCAGGCAGGTGAAATGTTGCTTGGGACAGGGCAGGCGGCAGAAAATCCTACAGTATGTAGAAAAACCAGGGGCAAGTCGGTTCGTTTTAAAGAGCGCCAGGCTACATTTATGTATTGCCCAAAACAAAAAGGCTTAAATTGCTCAAAGAGATTGTGAAATCTATACTCTTGGTAGATTGCAAAGAAAAATACTGTACATCAGAAAGGGCAATGAAGAAAGAATCTGTCTTGGAGGAGAAGCCAGAATGCACGACTGTTGGGTCCTTTCCCACTAGAAAAAATAAAAAATAAATTCTCAGCTGCAATCTGATGGGTTTAGCTCATTCCCCTCGTCAGAAGATGCGATTTCCTAAGTGCAAGCGTCTTCTAGTAAGCACGTGACCGTCATCTGATTTGAATTCATCCATTCTATTCAGCCTGATGTGCCGTATGAATGAAAGACACTTATTTCAGGCCCTATCCATGCTGGGAATATCTTAAGGCACTGCTTGGCTAATTCTTTGCAAGGATCGCTAAGAATGCAAAGGCCTTGCAGATGGATCAATACTTCAATATTTCAAAAAGGGCTAAGGAACTTCCTTCAAACGCGTCTCCTCTTTCACACACCCTGGGGTAGAGCCAAAATGTATGCCTGTTTACTACGGCAAGTTTAAGAAATCAGAGAGAGAGAGAGAGAAAGAGAGAAAAAAAATCTCAAATAGCAAATGATATTCTTATACACAGGTCGTCCTCAGCTTACGACCACAATTGAGCCCAACACTTGTTCAGTGAGTTTTTCCCCATTTTATGGCCTTTCCTGCCACAGTTGTTAAGCGAAATCACGGTGGTTGTTAAGTGACTTGGCTGGTCAGAAGGGCGCAAAAGGTGACTCCATGACATGGCGACCGTCATAAATACGAGTCAGTTGCCAAGTATCTAAATTTTGATCGCGGGACCCTGGGGATGCTACAACGGTCGTAAGTGCGAAAAACGGTCGTAAGTCACTTTTTTCACTGCCGTTGTAGCTCTGAACGTTCACTAAACAAACTGTTGCAAATCTATTATCTAACTACTGTCTCAACAGCGTTCAACTCAAACCAATGCATATTCACACAGACATACAGGGAGTCCTCGACTTAATAACGGTTCATTTAGCGACTGTTCAAAGTTACGTCGCTGAAAAAGTGACTTATGACCGTTTTTCACACTTACGGCCGTGGCAGCATCCCCAGGGTCCTGTGATTTACATTCGGATGCTTGACAACCGACTCACACTTATGACGGTTGCAGTGTCCGGGGGTCCCGTGATCCCCTTTTGCGACCGTTGGTCAAGCAAAATCCACGGATGAAGCCGGATTTCACTTAAGAATCGTGTTGCTAACTTAATGAGAGGGATTCGCTTCACAAATCGGGCAAGAAAAGTCGTAAAATGGGGCAAAACTCACTTAACCAATTTCTCACTTCGCAACGTAAGTGTTCGGCTCAATTGCGGTCACAGGCCCATAGGATTACCTGCACGGCAACTCTGAACTTTTCTCTTTATTAAAGTTATGGGGTTGCACTATTTTTAGTTCATGGTAATAGTGCCCCAGCCCTTTGGGAAGGTCTGCACGACGACAATACATCAGTGTGTGTACAAAGCTCAGCAGCGCTTGCCACGGGAAACAATAAAGAGCCTTAAATGTTCTTTATTTATTGAAGAAAGCCACTCCCTTGTCTGGCAGGAGCTACTGAAAAGACAGCAGACACCGGAAAAACTGACAAAGCTTCCCAATAATGACAGAACTAGGGCGAATCTCCAAAGTGAAAATCATTTACAACTGCAGGGAATCCCCTCACATTTACATCTACAGAGGTTTATCTAATCTTTCCTTTTTGTGTCCAGGGATTGCAAACGCAATGCCAAGAATGCAAAATTGATCTCTGCTCCACTTCTCCTCCTTCTTCGTGCCTTCTGGATGTTTGAGAACATGAACTGCCCTCAGCCCAAGTAAATATAACCAAAATTGGGATGACAAGTTTGCACGTCCCAGGCTGGTGTTAAAGAAGGCCCTGTCGATATTGTACTGCACAATCCTGCCTTGGTACAACATCTGAATTTTAACAAGATTCACACCTTAGCAGGTGTGAATCGCCCCAAGCCAACGAAGTGAGCCAAATAGACCCAGCAACCAAAAACTGAAATTATAGCAAAGGTACCACTCCCAAATATGATAATACCCATTAACATATGATAGTAGTTTGTCAGGAATCTTGCGCAAAATATTCTTAGTCTGAGCAGACAAGTGAAAAACAAGTTTATCAGTATATAGGATTCTTAACTGGTGTTTTTTTTTTCCTTATTAGAAAGAGCCTCTGCTTGGTTCATTTGAAAAACAAAGCATGCAAAGTTTATTACATTCATACCACATTCTTACAAGGAAGCATAACTGTACACACATATGCTGATTAAAGGATAAGAGGTGTGCACAGCTCACCTTATATTTATTCAGAGCCAAGCACACAACATCTCTCACTGAAGATCTACAATGGGTAAAGCATTTAACACGGCAATTTTTTTTTTAAAAAAAAGAAATCAGTGCAATAAGATATCGTCAATCCTACTTTTAGTCCAGATTCCAGGCAAAATTTCTTTTTTCAAGCCTACTTAGAAGGACTTATCCAAAATCCTCAATCTTTTTTTTTTAAACGCTCAATTTGCCCCTCTGATATAATATGCACAAGTGGCATTCACTGCACATCATGATGTAGTTGTGTTGTAGGCTAGCTGACAAATAAGACAGCTTCACAGACACAAGTTTCTAACTTTCTCCACAGGAAGACGGCAAGTGGCATCCTTGACACCTTTGGGACCTGGGACTGCAGGACAGCCAAGGTAAAGAACTTAAAACAAAACTAAACAAGCTGTAGGAAAATGGGGAGCCCTTTTCCAGAAGCAGCTGTACCCCACCCCTTAGAGAAGGTATCCATCCACTCCAGGCTTCCTGAGAATGCAATGCTGTTTATTCATTTATTTATCAGATTTTTATCCTGCCTTTATCACTTTATAAGTGATCAGGATGACGAACACACCTAATACCCCTTCCCTCTATGTTTATTATTTATTACATTTATACGGCGCCCATCTCGACAACAACCCTGTGAGGTGGGGTTGGGCTGAAAGAGAGACTGGCCCCAGCTTTCATTTTACCATTGCTCAACCGTGCGATAGGTGGCACAAATTTAATAAAGAAATAAGTAAATATAGTTCCAGGGAATACGGTCCATGGCACTCCCTAAAGTTTTAACGCAGGGGTGTCCGACCTTGGCAACTTTTAAAGATTTGTGGACTTCAACTCCCAGGATTCCCCAGCCAGCACGGGGGAGTGAACTCTGGGAGTTGAAGTCCACCAGGCTTAAAAAGTGGCCAAGGTTGGACCTTCCTGTTTCAACCCATCAAGGTAGGCAGGTAGACTGCTGCTCTAAAAAGCTTCTCTTGGGTAATTCAGTCAGGAGGGCAAACAGAAGAGAAGGAAGGGAGAAGGAAGGAAAAGAAAGAGAGAGAGAAGGAAAGAGGGCGGGAGAGAGGGAAAGAAAGAGATACAGAGAGAGAAAAAGAAAGATACAGAGAGAGAAAAGGAAGGAAGGAAGGGAAGAAAGGAAGAAAGAAAGAAAGAAGGAAGGGGAAGGAAGGGAAGAAAGGAAGGGAAGGAAGGAAAAGAGAGAGAGAGAGAGAAGGAAAGAGGGAGAGAGGGAAAGAGATACACAGAGAGAAAAAGAAATACAGAGAGAGAAAAGGAAAGAAAGAAAGAAAGAAAGAAAGAAAGAAAGAAAGAAAGAAAGAAAGAAAGGGGAAGGAAGGGAAGAAAGGAAGAAGGGAAGGAAGGAAAGGGCCAGGAATCTAATAAAATCTAAATCTAAAGGAAGAAGGGAAGGAAGGAAAAGAGAGAGAGAGAGAGAAGGAAAGAGGGCGGGAGAGAGGGAAAGAAAGAGATACAGAGAGAGAAAAAGAAAGATACAGAGAGAGAAAAGGAAGGAAGGAAGGAAGAAAGAAGGAAGGGGAAGGAAGGGAAGAAAGGAAGGGAAGGAAGGAAAAGAGAGAGAGAGAGAGAAGGAAAGAGGGAGGGAGAGAGGGAAAGAGATACACAGAGAGAAAAAGAAATACAGAGAGAGAAAAGGAAAGAAAGAAAGAAAGAAAGAAAGGGGAAGGAAGGGAAGAAAGGAAGAAGGGAAGGAAGGAAGGAAGAAGCCCAGAAATCCTTCTCCATCACCCCAAAGGCTTCCTCTTTGCCAAAAAACCGCAGCTCCTCTGGGCCGGCCTATGCCCCGCCTCCCCCGCCACCAGGACCCATGGGTCTGGGACAGGAATCAAGGGATGGGGATGATGGGATGGGGGCTCTTCAGGGACAGGGAGGAAGGGGCAGCGGGAGGGGGTCCCCCGCACGGCTGGGGAGGACGGGAGGTGCAAAGGCCTCTAGGAGCGGCGCGGGCTGGGGACGATGGGCCCGATAGTCGCCATTCAGCCTCCCCCCCTCCCTTCTTCCGCCTCCCGGAAGGGAAGCCCGGCCTGGCGCCCGCGGGCGCGGCTTCCCCCGCCGAGAGGGGGGAGGCGGTCGCCTCCCGTTGCTAGGCAACTCCGGGGAAGGCCCCGGCCGGAAGGCCTGGCCTAGGCCGCCCGGATCTACCTGGGATCGAGGGGCTGGTGACTGGGCAGCTTGGCTGAGGAGAGGGCAGCGGCGGCGGCCACAGCAGCGTCTCGTTCCCGGGCGGGAGCCGCGGAGGGCGCAGGGGGCGACGGGCAGCAGCGGCGGCGGCGGCGGGTCTCCTCCTCTCCGGCTTCTCCTCCTCCTTCTTCTTCCCTCTTTCGTCGCCGCCGCCCCTCCTCTTCCCTCACAGACACCCGCGATCCAAGATGGCGGCGGCGGCCCTTTCCGCTGGGTGTCCCCGCCCACTTCCCACGGGGCGGGGCCCGGAGGCCGGCCGGGCCGGCTCGGCTGCCAAATCTCCCCCGCGGGAAAGAGGAAGGCGGGCGACGCGAAACAAAAGTCAGCGCAGGGAGGGCGGGATGCGCTGGAGCAAACGGCCAATCGGGGCGGCCGAGGAGGCGAGGAAGTGGTTTTTGTGGTTTGGGGATTCTTCTTTTTTTTTTTCTTTCCGGAGAAAGCGCGAGGGCGGGGCGGAAAGGGTGGCCCAGAGCGCCTGCGTCAAAAAAAAAAAAAGCCGGTTCTTGTTTGGGCAGCTTAAAACGAGGGGCATGCGCAGATTGGAGAAGGGAGACGCATGCGCAGATAGGAGACGACAAAAGGAGGAGCCATCTACCAAAGATGGGCGGGCTTAACCCAAGGATGATTTAAAAAAAATAGGGTCATGGAGCTTGGCCAATGAACTCCGTCCACAGTCGTTCTGGCCCCGCCCACTCGCTTAGGCCCTCCCCTTCGGCTGGCATTCAACCGGGAAATCCTTCCTAGTTGAATTTCTGCCTAGAGTCTTGATTACTTCCTAGTCAAGGTTTTGTGTGGGGGTGCTGTCCCAGGGCATACTTTAAAAAGTCATTTTATTATTGATAAGGGTTCACACATAAAACATTTATTAAGGAGCTGTTCTTGCCAAGGACGTGAGCAGGATTCGAACTCAGAGCCAAATAAAGCAGGAGGCCCTTTGGGGAACGATATAATAACATGTCTATTAATAAAAGAATAATAAAATTCCTTTGCTGGAGCCTAGCCTTCCACAGGGGATAGTAGCCAGTTCAGTGCACCGTGCAAACCCCCAAACACGTGTGAATCAGTCACTAGGCAGGGAGGCTCGTGTGAATCCGACTTTTGGCCTTTCGGGTTCATGAAAAAGCCAATAAAAAGGGACGAAAAACAAGTGCCCTGCACCACTTTTATTTGCCCACGAGATGGCAGCATTGCTCCATGGTTGGGAAAGGAAGGCAGAAAACACGCGTTCCCCTTTCAAAAGAGAATAAAATAAAAGCTTTAACTGATTAAAAGAATATTACACACTTGTGCAAAATGACCTCTCTGTTGCAACACACAAACGCCCTGATCTGATTGCATTGAATTCAGCGGGAGATAGATTCCATTGAGAATCAAAACAGGCATGCGCAGATAGGAGAGGACAAAGGGGAGGAGCCAGACCCCGAAATGGGCGGGTGTAACACAGAGGCACAAAAAAGATTTTTTTAAAAAAGTAGAGCTCCATCCGCCGTCGTTCTGGCTCCTCCCACTCCCTTAGGCCCTTCCCTTCAGCCTGCATTCAACAGGGAATTCCTTCCCTAGTTGAATTTCTGCCTGCAAGTTTACTAGCCTACTCCTTAGTCAAGGTTTGGGGGGGGGGGTGCTGTCCCAGGATTTGAACTCAGAGCCACGTAAAGCAGGGGCCCTGGTGAGAAGAAATAACAAAATATCTATTAATAAAAGAATAATAAAATGCCTTTGCTGGACCCTAGCCTTCCGCATGGGTTAGTAGCCAGTTCGATGCACCACGCAAAACCCCAAACACGTATGACTCAGTCACAAAGCGAGGAGGCTCGTGTGAATCCGACCTCTGGGGATTTTAAGTTCATCAAAAAGAAAAAGAAATGAAAAACAAAGGCAGTGCACCACTTTTCTTTGGCCACGAGATGGCAGCATTGCTCCATGGTTGGGAAAGGAAGGCCGAAAACACGCGATCCCCTTTAAAAGGAGAATAAAATAAAAGTTTTAACTGAGTAAAAGAATATGACACAGTTGTGCAAAATGATGTTTTATTGGTTGCCACCCAGGGAGGTAAACGGCATTAGAATCAAAACAGGCATGCGCAGATAGGAGAGGACCAAGGGGAGGAGCTAGACCCCCGAAATGGGCGGGTGTAACACACAGATAAAAATGATTTTTTAAAAAAGTCGAGGAGCTCCATCGGCTGTCTTTCTGGCTCCGCCCACTCGCTTAGGCCCGCCCCTTGGGCTTGCATTCAACAGGGAATTCCTTCACTAGTTGAATTTCTGCCTGCAAGTTCACTAGCCCACTCCTTAGTCAAGGTTTTCGGGGTGTCACGGGTGTACGTTAAAAAAAATCATTTTATTATTCATAAGTCTAACACATAAACGTTTATTTCGTGAGCTGATCTTGCCAAGGACATGAGTAGGATTCGAACTCAGAGCCACATAAAATGGTGAGAAGAAATAACATAATATCTATTAATAAAAGAATAATAAAATGCCTTTGCTGGAGCCTAGCGTTCCGCATGTGTTAGTAGCTAGTTCAATGCACCGTGCAAACCCCCCAAACACGTGTGAATCAGCCACAAAGCGAAGAGGCTCGTGTGAATCCGACCTCGGGTTTTAAGTTCATGAAAAAGCTAAGAAAAAGAAACGAAAAATAAAGGCGGTGCTCCACTTTTCTTTGGCCACGAGATGGCAGCATTGCTCCATAGTTGGGAACAGCTGAACTTGCCAAGGACGTGGGCAGAATTCGAACTCAGAGCCACATAAAGCAGAGACCCCCTCTTGGGGGATAATATGATAAAACTTGGATTAATAAGAATAATAAAATTCTTTTGCTGGAGCCTAGCCTTCCGCATGGGTTAGTAGCCAGTTCAGTGCACCGTGCAAACCCCCAAACACGTGTGAATCAGTCACAAAGCGAGGAGGCTCGTCTCGTGTGAATCCGACCTCTGGCCTTTCGGGTTCATAAAAAAGCTAAGAAAAGGGGGGAAAAAAGAAGCGCCATGCACCACTTTTCTTTGACCACGAGATGGCAGCATTGCTCCATGGTTGGGAAAGGAAGGCGGAAAACACGTGTTCCCCTTTCAAAAGAGAATAAAATAAAAGCTTTAACTGATTAAAAGAATATTACGCACTTGTGCAAAATGATCTTCTATTACAGGGGTCTTCAAACTTGGCCCTTTTATGACGTGGACTTCAACTCCCAGAATTCCTCAGCCAGCAACATGCCTGGCTGAGGAATTCTGGGAGTTGAAGTCCACAAGTCGTAAAAGGGCCAAGTTTGAAGATCCCTGATTTAAGAGCTGATCTTAACGTGATCAGGATTCGAACTCAGAGCCACATAAAGCAGGAGTCCCCTTGGGGGACGATATAATAAAATATCGATTAAGAAAAGAATAATAAAACTCCTTTGCTGGAGCCTAGCCTTCTGCATGGTTTAGTAGCCAGTTCGATGCACCGGGCAAACCCCTCCAAACACGTGTGAATCAGTCACGAGGCGAGGAAGCTCGTGTGAATCCGACCTCGGGTTTTAAGTTCATGAAAAAGCTAAGGAAAAGAAACGACAAATAAAGGCGGTGCACCACTTTTCTTTGGCCACGAGATGGCAGCATTGCTCCACGGCTGGGAAAGGAAGGCGGAAAACACGCGTTCCCCTTTCAAAAGAGAATAAAATAAAAGTTTTAACTGAGTAAAAGAATATGACACGGTTGTGCGAAATGATCTTTTATTGGTTGCGACCCACAAATGCCTCGATGTGATTGCATTGAATTCAGTGGGAGGCAAACGCCATGAGAATCAAAACAAGCATGCGCAGATAGGAGAGGACCAAGGGGAGGAGCCACCTGCCCAAAATGGGCGGGTGTAACACACACAAATATTATATTTTTAAAAAAATCGAGGAGCTCCATCCGCGGTCGTTCTGGCTCCGCCCACTCGCTTAGGCCCGCCCCTTCGGCTTGCATTCAACAGGGAATTCCTTCCCTAGTTGAATTTCTGCCTGCAAGTTTACTAGCCCACTCCTTAGTCAAGGTTTGGGGAGAGTTTTTTTAAAAAATCATTGTACTATTCCTAAGCTTAATACATAAAACGTTTATTTTATGAGCTGTTCCTGCCACTGCGACCGTCATAAATACGAGTCAGTTGCCAAGCGTCTGGATTTTGATCACACGATCATGGGGATGCTTGTACTCATCGCAAGAGTATTAAAAAAAAACAGTCAAAAGACCACTTTTAAGTTGAGGATTACCTGCAGTGACAAATACATTCCATGTTCATCTGATAAGTTGACTTCTCAAACAAATCCAAAAATGGGTATTTTTCAATGCAAATAGGACAGCCACAGCCCGTTTCTATTGCTCCATGGAGTCAAAACTAGCACAATTTTCCAGGCGTGCCTTCTGGATCAGACAGAGACTGGTGTTGTCTCGGAAAGCGTTCGACAAATAAAGCTATTGTGTTCCCCAAAAGATTCTTCTTATTAGTGGAACTAGACGCGCACAAAGATTTTTAGACAAGGAACAGTGTTGTACAGAGTCCTCTGCCTACTGCTCTGGGCAAATCACATGAGTGTTTTTCACTTGTGAAATGGAACCAACGTCCCTGGCATTTAAGTGAAATGAAGAACCGTTGCAGGAATTGGGCACGTTCTTCAGTCCTCAATAAGAATAGTAAAGCGCATTGGGGAAGGAAATTAAAAATAAAAAGTGGACAGCTAGGCTGTAGACCTAGGCCAGGGGGTCTTCAAACTTGGCCCTTTGATGACTCGTGGACTTCAATTCCCAGAATTCCTCAGCCAGGCATGCTGGCTGAATTAAAATTTCCAGCAACTGCAGCCAAAAACAGCCATATATAAAACGCTCGGTGTGGTAGATCTAACGAAGAAGATGGTCATGAAAAGGGCGATCAGCTTTGGAGAATCCCTTTATACCGGCAGAAAATGTTCCTCCTTTGCGAGAACAATTGTCTGCTTTTCCATCGTTCTTACGGTGCTTAAGTGGTTCCCCTTTCTTTGCTTCCTGCTTGGAGAAGTTGACTCACCCTTGCC